TTTCCTAACAAAACATAATTAAATGATTCACAGAAAATAAACTCCATCCGACATCCTTTTAAACACTACGGCGCCGCGACGATGGGTCCTCCCCCATCCTGGATGAGTCCACAGTAGAAACAAGTACTGAAGCTTCGCTCCGGGCTCCTCCCCCCCCCCCCATCGCTCACTAGACACAGAGACCGAGGGTACACCGCTCCCGCCTCTACCATGTCCACTCAACTTTAATTCCTTATTTTAGCTAACTGTCTTAATAAAATATCTATTCTATATACACGCGTTCACTATGATCGCTGGGCACATGATCAAACACTGGTAGCTACTCTGACAACTACTTAGACAAGCTTACCTCAGAACTCTATGGCATGAGGGCGCTCACTCTCTGGCGCTCACTCAGGTCGCCCACAAAACCGTTTTAGGACCGCTTCACCAAGCTACCTCCAGTCCTGACTTGAGTACACTGAGTCGCCAGGCAGACTTCACACAGAAACGCCTGCTCATTTCTCTCCTCTTGATGGAAAACATATATTAGAGTTCCACACAGGCACGACCAACCACTCGCTTCCAGGTCGTCTCTTATAACTTCACATCACAGAGAAATGGATTATGATGTCCCCAACAGCTTCCTCACACTTGTAAACAAGTAGCTTTCACTTCCCCGCAAACACAGGGCACTATATTCTTCCTTCTTCCAGGAGATCAATGAAGTACAACCATCCCTGACGACTGTTCTAACTCAAGTGACATTACCTGTCTCAGGGTTGCCAGATCCAAATTGCTGAAACTAGCGAGCTGACGGTCTAAAAGTAGCGAATTTGTAATAAGAGTAGCCCAATTTTTTGTTTAGTGACTAATACGGTTTTCAAAGTAATATATTATGATATTTAGAGTACATAAAACGATTTTAATTGTTTTGTTAATATTATCTCTGCATATATATATTTAACCAATATGATAATAGGATAACTTATCAATATTTACTGTATGAAGCCGAATGAGTGTGGAGTCCTTCCACGTCTTTACAATTGAAGATTATCAAGATCTTGATCTGCATCCACAACCGCGTACTTGTATATTGCAGACTCATATTTAAGCATTGACATGAGTGGTTCAAATGACGAGCAACCAGTTACATATTCTTCAAGATATGTTTTAATTCTCAAGATTGATGTCAAAAGCTCAAGTCCCATTCGATTTCTCAGTTTAGTTTTCACAGACGTTCCTCTCGAAAATACCCGTTCAACCAGGGCATTACTGATTTGCAAGCTGTATATTTTCATGGCAAACTGGGCGAGGTCAATCAGTATAGGATCGCCAGCAGCGTTCTTGACAGTTATTGTCTTGGTCTAAAATGACGATTCAGATGTTGGAATTTGTTCCTCACAAATGTTGGATCAGTCAGTGGTTAACGGTAGGCGTCACTGACTTTATTCACTAAGCTTAGATTGGTCAGCTAATACTAATGGAAGTTCTGAAAATGGTGTCCATGTGTGGCTAAGACATATGGCAGGTAACAGATTTTTCACCTTTTTTAAAGTTTCAACATTACTAAGAATACGAGAAAGAAGCTATTTACAAGCTTTCACTAAAAAATTATCGCATCTTTCTTGAATATTTTGAAACTTTTCCTGGGTTATAAAATTGTTTTGTCTGTTAGTGGCCCAAAGTGTTGAAAATTCGTAACCAAAGTCAACTGTCTCCAGGGGCAGATACATAGAATTATAGTCCAAATTAACATGAAGCTTTGCATGATGAGGATGCACGATTCTTCTGAGTATTCCAAGAGTGAAGTTTTCTAAGACAGTGTGAAGGCTACACTGATCTGCTTCATCTGTTTGATAAAGTTAATTCATCCTTTCAAAATCATTTAGGATTGGTTTGAGACATGTGAAATATAGCGTATTGGAGGGATCAGCGTACATTGAAAATAGTTGCCTTGCAACATATTTATCACAAGAGGAAAAATGCTATTTGGTAATGATCTGCTAGTTGTCAGAGAATCCCATTGATCTAACAGCCGCTTTACACTACCGCTCCTTGCCAACCATCGTCTTCCTGACAAAGGTATTAACTGTAAGGGATCTTTCCAATCATTTATCAATCTGGAAATTTCTAGATAACTTTCTCCCCTTAATGAAGATCTGTGGAACCAGGTGTAGCTTTTGGGATGAAGTATTAATGACAATTAAGGTTGGGAAATCTATGGCCCTTGGGGAGGATTACCTTGGCTTGCGGTTACGTTTTTCTTTCGAAGGTTCCTAGGATCAATGTCCGCAGGGGGCCGGTCTGGGACCAGGCCTCCTGGGGTAAGTGGTCTCGTCAGTCAGGCAAAAAGTCGCAAGTAGCGAAATTAAAAATGTGTGAGCGCGGGGTTCTTAAAAGTAGCCCAATCTGGCAACCCTGCCGTGTCTGCCAGCGTCACGTCACGTCACAAAATGTCGACATCTCATTCTATGTGACTTTTATCAGACGCTCATCCTCTGCTCGTATTCTTAAATTACTCACTGACGTTTATTATATATTTTTCTTCCTCTGACCTCTTAATCTCTGGGCAGGTATGCAGAATTACTCTCACTGGTAGACTCGTTCCACCAGGCTACATGGGGTCATAACAGTACGTAACAGTCACCAGTGTGTACATAACGGTCACTAATGTGTACATAACGGTCACTAGTGTGTACATAACGGTCACTAGTGTGTACATAACGGTCACTAGTGTGTACATAACGGTCACTAATGTGTACATAACGGTCACTAATGTGTACATAACGGTCACTAGTGTGTACATAACGGTCACTAGTGTGTACATAACGGTCACTAATGTGTACATAACGGTCACTAGTGTGTACATAACGGTCACTAGTGTGTACATAACGGTCACTAGTGTGTACATAACGGTCACTAATGTGTACATAACGGTCACTAGTGTGTACATAACGGTCACTAATGTGTACATAACGGTCACTAGAGTGTGCATAACGGTCACTAATGTGTACATAACGGTCACTAATGTGTACATAACGGTCACTAGTGTGTACATAACAGTCATCAGTGTGTACATAACGGTCACTAATGCGTACATAACGGTCACTAGTGTGTACATAACGGTCACCAATGTGTACATAACGGTCACTAGTGTGTACATAACGGTCACTAATGTGTACATAACGGTCACTAGTGTGATCATAACGGTCACTAATGTGTACATAACGGTCACTAGTGTGTACATAACGGTCACCAGTGTGTACATAACGGTCACTAGTGTGTACATAACGGTCACTAATGTGTACATAACGGTCATTAATGTGTACATAACGGTCACCAGTGTGTACATAACGGTCACTAGTGTGTACATAACGGTCACCAGTGTGTACATAACGGTCACCAGTGTGTACATAACGGTCACTAGTGTGTACATAACAGTCACCAGTGTGTACATAACGGTCACTAATGTGTACATAACGGTCACTAATGTGTACATAACGGTCACTAGTGTGTACATAACGGTCACTAATGTGTACATAACGGTCACTAGTGTGTACATAACGGTCACTAGTGTGTACATAACGGTCACTAATGTGTACATAACGGTCACTAATGTGTACATAACAGTCACCAGTGTGTACATAACAGTCACCAGTGTGTACATAACAGTCACCAGTGTGTACATAACGGTCACCAGTGTGAACGTAACAGTCGCCAGTGTGTACATAACGGTCACCAGTGTGAACGTAACAGTCGCCAGTGTGTACATAACGGTCACCAGTGTGAACGTAACAGTCACCAGTGTGTACATAACGGCCACCAGTGTGTACATAAGTCACCAGTGTGTACATAACAGTCACCAGTGTGTACATAACAGTCACCAGTGTGTACATAACAGTCACCAGTGTGTACATAAGTCACCAGTGTGTACATAACGGTCACCAGTGTGAACGTAACAGTCGCCAGTGTGTACATAACGGCCACCAGTGTGAACGTAACAGTCGCCAGTGTGTACATAACGGTCACCAGTGTGAACGTAACAGTCACCAGTGTGTACATAACGGCCACCAGTGTGTACATAAGTCACCAGTGTGTACATAACAGTCACCAGTGTGTACATAACAGTCACCAGTGTGTACATAACAGTCACCAGTGTGTACATAAGTCACCAGTGTGTACATAACGGTCACCAGTGTGAACGTAACAGTCGCCAGTGTGTACATAACGGCCACCAGTGTGAACGTAACAGTCGCCAGTGTGTACATAACGGTCACCAGTGTGAACGTAACAGTCACCAGTGTGTACATAACGGCCACCAGTGTGTACATAACAGTCACCAGTGTGTACATAACAGTCACCAGTGTGTACATAACAGTCACCAGTGTGTACATAACGGTCACCAGTGTGAACATAACGGTCACTAGTGTGAACATAACAGTTGCCAGTGTGTACATAACGGCCACCAGTGTGTACATAACAGTCACCAGTGTGTACATAACGGTCACCAGTGTGTACATAACGGTCACCAGTGTGTACATAACGGTCACCAGTGTGTACATAACAGTCACCAGTGTGTACATAACAGTCACCAGTGTGTACATAACGGTCACCAGTGTGTACATAACGGTCACCAGTGTGTACATAACGGTCACCAGTGTGAACGCGGTGTTCCTCGATATCGTTTATTGCTAATCAGACTAAAGACAGCTTTCAGCCAATTAAATTTAGACGGGCGGGTCTGCGTCGAAACATATTTAGATGCGCGGGTCGATCCAGACGCCAGATTGATTTTCTGATAGATATATCAGGATGTGATTTCCCTGTGTACCTCTTATATAAGTTTTATCTCATATGTGTAACCCCACAGCCTCTAACCTTTCATTACCCTCTCATTTCACATACACTTTTTTATTTTATTTTTTTATTTCCCTCCCTATATTTCATGTTCACATTGTGCAGGGAAAAATATTGTAGTGAACACTGCTAACCTTTATGTTTCTTGCCTGTCACTTCAGCCGCCTGGGCACTGTTATCACCTGCTTTGAGGACGTCCTGGTTGACTGTGACAACGGCTATGACTTCTTCAGGTGAGAATTTTGTTGGCCAAATGAGCTTATACCAGAGTTGATATCCTTTACACAGCCCCACTCCTGTGCCAGGTAAGTCCACTACAGGCTCACCATAGCCTGTGCTGCTTGGAACTTTTCGTTCCGAGTAGCTGAATCTAAAACAATAACAACGATACCCTTTATCAGGGCGAGAGGGGTAGGCTGACAGCCATACAGCTGGTTCAGGAATTCGACCCCAGTGTTATTTAAACTAAATAATTCAGGTGAATAAAACAAATTAATTGTAAGCAAAATATAAGACAATTACAAAATACTAACCAAAATCTTATAAAAACTCAAATAATAAACAAAGCTGAACACCAAAATATGTATTATATGTCCTAAATAAAAGACTAAAATAATATATAATGTCAAAAACTTTAAATAAGAAAAAAAAGAAAAAACATGATGAACTAAACAAAATTATAATAAAATTAAAAGGCCAGTATAAACTATAAATCAAATTACGGAGCCTATTGTGCACTATACAGTGTACAATTGAACAGCTGAAAGGCTGTTATTTAACAGAGGCCCCAGCTCCCTTATATATAAGGATTCCATTACTCTCAAATCTGACTGGCCATTCATACAAGTGTCCAGAATTTTAAAATCAGATTCTAGCAGAGAATGATTAAACTCATAACAATGGTTTCTAATCTCCGAGAATGCTAGTTTAGATAATGGTAATCCAGTCCTAAAAGATACTCTCCCGATGTATCCAGCATTACAGCTGGAACAATTATACATATATACGATATTAAGAGCACAAGGGAGTAGGCACTTTATCTTTAAATTTAAAATAAGAACCTATGGTATTTGTAGTGACAAAAATAAATCAAAAGTCTATTTGAGGATAACAATGCTGTAACAGTTTCCTCAATCGCCTCCTTACAGAAAAACTAATAGCGCCATAAAATGGTAATTTAATATATTTAATATCCCTTTCTACCGTAGTAATCCTACAGGAAGGGTGAACTTCATATTTAAAAAATTCCTTATGAAGGGATATACCATATGCAAAGGATAACCATTATTTGAAAAAAAAGTCACAAGAAAGTTGATCTCTTGATCAAAGTTATTCCAATTTGAATATAAAACGAAGGCCCTATTCAGTAGAGTATTAATTGCATTTTTCTTAAAGATATCAAGAACAAAACAATTAAAATTTAAACCTAAACCTGTAAAAGTTGGTTTTCTAAAAACATTAGTGTTAAGCCCATTAAGGTTATTCACTTTGACATCAAGAAACGACAACGAATTATCCACCTCACATTCTGCAGTGAAACGTATATTACAATGGTGTGCATTAAGATATTCTCTAAATTTCCCAATATGACATTGGTTCTTAAATAACAAAAAAGTGTCATCTACATATCTCCTGTACAAGACTGGTTTAAAGTTTAAAGGACATTTATCAAGCCAACCAGTCTTGTACAGGAGATATGTAGATAGTCTGAGTCTGAGATATGTAGTAGCAAGTTATAGTGAGAATGTCTACTGACTTGGAAACATTTTTGTATATATTTATAATATGGGAATGGAATTCAGCTAGTGGTCAATGTCAACACCAACGAATTCCCATCTATTCTCCTCTCAATTTGGGAATTATTAATTCTAAGTTTTATTTGATTTTGGGACTTGTTTCCAAGCAATATATAAAACGTTGCTTCAGTGTTAAAAGAAAGTTTTGTTACCAGTCAGCCACATTTTTTTTTTAGTTCAGTATTCACCATTACATTTAGAATAAGTACCATTAAAGAAAATGAATGGCGTGTCGTGCTACCAGGTACCGCCACCTCCTGCACTCCCTGGACCGAGTACACACCTACCTCTGCCGCACTGCCAACGATCGCACCTCCAGGTTTCTCCGTAAGTCCCTTGTATTTTGTGTGTAGTTGTCTAAGTGCAGCTAGAGGATGAGAGCTGTGCTCAGGCAGGTGGAATGTCTTCCTTGTAAGCTTTGTCAAAGAAAAACTGTCCATTACATAGGTAATGGACTCCAAAGATCATCATGTGAGTGGTAATGGACTCCAAGCCCAACCTGTGAATGGTTATGAACTTTCATACCCATCCTGTGTGTGGCAATGGACCCCAAGCCCATCCTGTGAATGGTAATGGACTCTCATGCCCATCATGTGAGTGGTAATGGACTCTCATGTCCATCATGCGAGTGGTAATGGACCCCAAAGACCATCCTGTGAGTGGTAATGGACTTCATACCCATCCTGTGAGTGGTAATTGACTCCATGCCCATCCTGTGAGTGGTAATGGACTTCATGCCCATCCTGTGAATGGTAATGGACTCTCATGCCCATCATGTGAGTGGTAATGGACGCCAAAGACCATCCTGTGAGTGGTAATGGACTTCATACCCATCCTGTGAGTGGGCTCTGCGCCTTCTGTGCTTATGTGATAACCCTTCTGTGCTTATGTGATAACCCTTCTGTGACATACATACAGAGAGGAGCCGCGCTCTACTGGTGTACCCAGGTCATGTATTACTGCTCTGGTAGTTACAGCATCTCCACAGCTTTCAGTGAGTCGTCTGTCATGTGCAAAGTGGTAACACTGAACGTACCTGCAGTTAGGTTAGGAAAAAGTAATATCTCACACACAAGGTGTGCAATTACCTGTTCTATGGTATATGAATTATTCTACCTCAGCTGATATGAGCAGCCTGGTGAGTGGGTGTCCTCAGGATAGGCTTGGCGTAAGTCATTTTCTTGCCTTCCCTTATACAAACAATTTGCTGACTTAAATTTTATGGATAAGGATATTTCAAAACTAATTAATTAAGTAAATTGAATGCAATTTATACTATTCAAACTTTTTAGCATTCCTGAAGTTGATAGAGTGCGCAGAGAGAGCACGGGTGGGTGAAGCCTCATGCCACCGACCCAACGTCACCATAAACGTGTGGAACCAGATCCTGCGGCTGGAGGTTGGCCCAGAGCTCTGCGAGTGAGTACTCCACACCCTACATGACTCAACATCATGTGCAAATGAATTACTTTAAGGATTAAGATGTATTGCTCGAGTAACTCAAATTCCTTTTAACAGTATTCAGTAATCATTTAACGTTTATGTTTTATAATAGATGCTGGTGGCGTGTAAATAAACAAAACATTATGAAATGCTTAATGACACTTGGACTACTAACTAATCTGAAATATGGGGCTGTAATTCTTAAATAATCTGTACATTATATTTTCAGTTACATTATTGATTATTATGTTCCATGAACGAACTAATGAATATTGAAAGCAACGAACATATTATATACTATATATGTAACTATCAGCCCGTCCTTGGGAGTGATAGGACCTGTAGCAACTATAGGACGTACACACAACAACGGAATGTTGCAAAAAAAAGTTTTGTATTATTAAAATACTCCAAATGGCATTCTAAAAATTGGAACAGTAACTATAACTAACCTAACCTAACCTGTCTCAGGCCTAAATAAGCTATCCTTGGCATAGCGGGCCATTTTAAGCCTAATTTAGTACATATATCTGCTATTTCATGCACCTGGAGTCTAGGAGACTCGAACCGCAGACCCCACGCGTGTGAGGCGACCGAACTATTGAGTAGTCTTAATAAGGAAGGATTCCATAAGCAACTACTGTTGCCAAACTGGAATTTTCGACTTTCTCTGACTACTACTGAATTTATTCCAGTTTGACAGCAGTAGTTGCTTCTGGAATCTTTCCTTATTAAGACTACTCGATATCTCGGGCGATAGCGCTTCGGCTTCACACGCGTGGGGTTTGCGGTTCGAGTCCCCTAGAGTCCAGGTGAATGAAATGTTTATTTCCCACGGAAGTGTGGATGACAGTTTATATATCTGCTATGTTAGGACTACAGTAGTAAGTTTAGGTTTCATAATTGCCATTTTTTCTTGTATTTTTTTTATAAAATTAACAGCCCAAAACATGAACAATTTTGGTACAACCGTTCCATCACTGAGAGGAGCCCCTTGGAGGCTACCTGGATAGTCCTACACATGACACGCCAGCCCCTTGTGGACTATACATGCTGACCACAGACCAGAGACCCAGTCTCGCCCACACACACAGAGGCACAGGGAGCTGGGGACACTAGATCAACACAGACCAAGAAGGTAATACTACCAGGAAGGTATAACGCTTCAAAACACACAACTACAACGAAAATAATAGCAACTTTGATCATAAGGAACGCAATAGTTTGTTAAAACTATTTTTGGGACAGAAGTTTGGTCATTACCACCGCTAGTTACACTCCTCCGCCGTTCCCGCGAGGGACATCGTGCAAAAACTACCGATGAGCGAAGGGCAGGAAAAGGAAGCAAATAAGCGGGCAATTAAAAAGTCTTTGCATTACATTAAATAATGACTTCCTGGAGGTAACTCACCAATGCTGGCTCTCTGGAGGTATCTCACCAATGCTGGCTCTCTGGAGGTATCTCACCAATGCTGGCTCTCTGGAGGTATCTCACCAATGCTGGCTCCCTGGAGGTATCTCACCAATGCTGGCTCCCTGGAGGTATCTCACCAATGCTGGCTCTCTGGAGGTATCTCACCAATGCTGGCTCTCTGGAGGTATCTCACCAATGCTGGCTCCCTGGAGGTATCTCACCAATGCTGGCTCCCTGGAGGTATCTCCCTGGAGATATCTCACCAATAAGAACAGAACAAAAGTGAGACTTACCAGGGAAAAAGGAAAGCAGTTGCTAGTAACCCTGGAAGAGAGCTGGATCCTGGAGTGGCAGGTAACCCAACCAAACAACCACTGATTACATCTCTACTATCGTCTGGCAGTGGGGAGGGGGGTAAACTAGCAGTGGTAATGACCTAACTACTGGGTTTCTTATTGTCAGGGTAGCTATTATTTTCCCTTGCAGTTGTGTGTTTTGGAGTGCTCATCCCTCCTGGTGGTATTTCCCCTTAGCCTTAGTATCCTCAGCTCCCTATGGCACTATGAGTGGACCAGGTTCTGTTTCTGGTCTCCGGTAGGTATTTCATAACTTGTAATGGCCTGGTGTGAGTTGATATGTGTAGGGTTATCCAGAGAGTTAGCTCCATGGAGCAACCTTAGGGCCCACTAGAAAGAGGCATTTATTACATTCAACGCAGGATTTCTGCGTTTTCGACCAATCATTATTATAAGTACTATTATTATTGGATAATGCTTTGTTATATATACAAGTAAGAAAATTAGATTCACGACTTTTGCGAGTACTGTACTTGGTCTGTGTTCAAGAATACTCGGATAGGCTGTACACTATTTAAATTAAAACCACCTTGTGCATTTATTTTAAAATTAATTTATCTGTATCAAGTATCTTGCTTCTTTAGGAGCTAGATTTTTCAAGTCTTCTATAATTTCTTGCATATTTTTTATGTATTTCATTATATAGTAGGACATGATCATGCTTACAGCTCGCTCAACACGCAGCGATCATGCCTGCTAGAGAACGAGTATGTGCTGCGGGAGTGTGGCGGTGAGGCGAAAGAAGAGCTCTACAAGAATGTTTCGGGGGTGTTCTTGGCTACCTGGTGCCGCTTACCACTACACTCTCACTTTTTCCAGTACGCAAGAGCGTCTAGTCTACCTTCCTCTGCCTTCTCCCTCGTTCTTCCACTGTTGATGTTCCTACTAGCAACTCTCCCATCCTGTTGGTGACCCAGGTTCAATATTCTCCTTGCTGGTGACCTGGCTTGATCACTCCCTTGCTGGTGATCATTGTACTATTCCAGGCAGGTGCTCAAAACAGGCATACTTTCAGAGGAGTAAATAATAGCATGTTCGTGTGTTGAGGTATATGTATCTTTGATTGAAAAACTATGGTGCAATTTATACCTCGCAATCTCAAAGTTATTACGAAGTGATCAGAGTCAAAGATTAAGTGATCAAAGTAATCGCCAAGTCAGATGATAAAACTGATCCAAGTGAAATATTTTGAAAATTACAGTACAGGTATAATGTGCCTGTCTTGGAAAGTAAATATGGCATTTAAGAGACATGAATGCAGGCCACTTTTATAACGTTGAAATGTGACCGTGGCCTAATAAATTGAAAAAACTTAAACTAGTACTGGATCATAAAAACTTGTCAGTTTGCGATGTACCCCTTCTGTGGTACAACGCGTAATCTGTAGAATTGTGACACCAGTAGGAAGTTGCAAGCATTTCTGTGTTCACCGTTCTGTCTTTATACACAGTGCGCCTGGTATGTGCACTGTGCACCTTCTGGGTACACAGTGAGCCTGCTGTGTGCACAGTGCACCTTCTGTATGCACAGTGCGCCTGCTGTGTGCACAATGCGCCTGCTGTGTGCACAGTGCGCCTTATGTGTGCACAGTGCGCCTGCTGTGTACAGTGCGCCTGCTGTGTGTACAGTGCACCTGCTGTGTGCACAGTACGCCTGCTGTGTGCACAGTGCGCCTGCTGTGTGTACAGTGCACCTGCTGTGTGCACAGTGCGCCTGCTGTGTGTACAGTGCACCTGCTGTGTGCACAGTGCGCCTGCTGTGTGCTCAGTGCGCCTGCTTTGTGGGCTCACCTTGTAATATGATATATTTACTTAAATTCAATAGTGAAGTAATAGTCAACCCGTGAGACTTGTATAGCTGACTATTCTGGGTCCCTTCATTTCTGAACTTTTGTGTATGTTTTGCAGATATGATTGATATCTTCCCTTTTCCTGACATTCCAGAGAATGCTTAGCACTTGAACTGCTGTTTGCTTGTTACTATGTGAGGAACATAGCTCTCAGAGAAGAGTTATATTCCCACTATGACATTCGTTCAAATGCAATAGTGGGCACGTTATCAGATATCATTTGACATATTCAAAAATCTGGATTATTTTTCAATGTTATTGCATGAGACCGAGACCCATCTAAGATATACCTGTGGTTTTGTTTGTTTTATGTGTGAGATTGTATGTTGTACCAGTGGTACTGTATCAACGTAAACATGTGACACTGTTTCTATGGTATAACTATAGCACTGTTTGTACCTATTGCTCAGTCTCAAAGTATACGCGTTGCTTAGTCTCAAAGTATACATGTTGCTTAGTCTCAAAGTATTCCTGTTGCTCTGTTTCAAAATATATCTGTTGCTCTGTCTCGAGTATGCCTGTTACTGTCTCAAAATATACCTCTTGCTATCGCTCATAATATACCTATTGTCTTCAAAACACCTTGCTTCATGCACCAAAGACAATTCAAATTTAGGCAATTCATCAAAGTAATGATGAACTGGATTTTGTTAGATCGAGGGATCAATGAATTTAAAAAAGAAAGATGTTCTCATCATTTGTTTCAAAAATGCTTCGATAACAACATTTTCAATGTTTTTTGTGACCAATGAAAGTCTAGATGTTTACAGGCTGTGCTCCATACACAGTAATTTGTGGTTGATAATGTGCCCATACAGTAGCCTACTACTGTAAAAGTAGTTTTCGTTTGGAGAAGTATATATGTAATCAACTTTCCAAATGTGTTCCCAATTTTTTTTTTTTTTTTTGGCAATTGGTTGTTCATCATAGCACTGCATTATAACTGTGTGATTGGATTTATCTTTTGATGATGCTCGATTGATTGCCTCTTGTGATGACAGTTTGTGATTAAATTTATCTCATGATGATGCTGTGATTGAATTTATCTTGTAATAATGATTAGCAATTAATCTTACCTTGGGATGATTTGTGATTAAATTCTTCTCATGAGTATGCTTTTGTGATATATTGGCATTTTACTAACCATTTCTCTTTAGGCTTCTTTTTTTATTTCGTTTTGTTTTTCTTTGCAATTTTGTTAATAGGCTTAATCTTTTCTAATGCTTCTTGATTTGTGATTTGTCATCATCTGAAGCAACATTTTATAATGTCTTATATAATAGGAGGCTGCTATTAACTACAGTGGATATCTTTTATATTGCTAGCCTCTTCCAACCCATTAATCATTTGCTGTAATTATAAATACAAATATTGCATTATGTAGGTGGGTGATTCTGCGAACACTGTATCAAATTGTCCTCAAACAATATTTTTATGCAAGAGATGCAAGTGTAGAAAACGTGGTGGGTATTGAGGAATTATTTCCATGTGAATTGTATGCTCTTTTTTGTGTTAAAACTTCACTGAGCGGCATCACGTCATACCTTAGAAAGTTTCGTTTGGATCACACTCACGTTTATATGTAAACTCGGGTTCATAATAACTGGTCGAGTTATATCATTTGTACAGTTTTAACTCCATTAATGGAGTTAAAACTTTGTCATCAGTTTTGTATTGAAAAACTCCACTTTCCCAGTGGTGTCACGTCTTGTAAACAGAGGCTTCTATTATCAAGAAGATCAACAATACTGCTATTGTTGATCATCTTTTCAGTAAATCTTTATAGTATGATACTAGTACTGAGAACATAAGCTGTTATATTTAAGAGTGATAATTACCATGTGATCAATATATTGAGTTTTATATAAAAGTCTTGTGTTCCGAGAGACGCAACTCGTGGTGTCTTTCAAGGTGATATTAAAATATTTATTTACCTATCATATATACCCCCTCTCCTAATGTTCTGTATATGTATGTTTTGATCTCAACCATGTGTATATATTTTATGAAAACACTATCGCTGGGTGCTGAATAAAGTGTGGTACTGCAGTATTTTCCACAATACTCATAGAGATATAAGATTTATGTACTTGTGCTTGCAGTTCTCGTGAGTATAACCAGTACACGAATGTTGTGATGACATGGTCTGGAGTTAGTCAGGAGTTGGCATAAATCACACATCAATCTTTAAGTAATTTGCTGGTGCAATCTTAAATTACTAAGTAAAAACAGAAGTTATTTGTGTCATGTTGAAATTTAGTATTTATATTAATAAATTCACTATAAACATGTGCATGTTAATTGTATTATTCCTTTTAACATTTGCTTTGGATTGGTAAAGGAATAGACACACATTATGTTTTTCAGCGAGAAATTCTGTTGGCTAATAATTATTCCAACCAAATGCTAATTACATGAAGGTCCGACTTCCACACTGCTGCTTGCCTCTTCCTCCGCTCTGTTTCGCTTAGCTTACACTGCTGTTACCTATTGATGGCCTGCCTTATACTGCTATTACCTAATTGGTGATCTACCTTGTACTGCTGTTACCAAATTGGTGATCTGCTTTACATTGCTGTCACCTATTGGTGGTCTGCCTTCCATTGCTGTTACTTATTGGTGGTCTGCCTTCCATTGCTGTTACCTATCTTCTGTAGCAGGTCTGCCTCACACTCTTGCTATGTAATCCCTCTCATATCTGCCTTTATCGACAATCTGAATGCTATGCATGATTATTAAACTATTATACAGCTAGATTGCAAATGTTGTTCCCTTTCTTTCCACTTAGAAATTATAATTTGCAAAATCCAGTGTAGGATGTCAGGTGTCTGCATTGTTTCCTCACACTAAGGGTGACACTCTTGCAAGGTTGTCACTCTTGCAGGGCTGTCACTCTTGCAGGGCTGTCACTCTTGCAGGATTGTTACTTTTGCAGGGCTTTTACTCTTACAGGAATGTCACTCTTGCTGAATTGTCAGTCGTGCAGGGCTGTCACTCTTGCAAGGCTGTCACTCTTGCAGGGATGTCATTCTCAATAGGGTGTCACTCTTGCAGGGATGTCATTCTCAATAGGGTGTCACTCTTGCAGGGATGTCATTCTCAATAGGGTGTCACTCTTGCAGGGATGTCATTCTCAACAGGGTGTCACTCTTGCAGGGATGTCATTCTCAATAGGGTGTCACTCTTGCAGGGATGTCATTCTCAATAGGGTGTCACTCGGTTGCGTGCCACTGGCATTGATATATCATTTGCTGAGGTGTCACTTGGGTGCCAATCTACTCTTGTTTAAAAAATAATGAAAACCTTCACTTATCACAGTGATAAACAGTCAGGAATGTGTGATCTCTAACCCGCGGGTGTTTCTCGAGGCCACCAGTCCCTCTTAGCCTGCATATCACGCACTATTTGTAAAATAAAACTATACAAGTGTCAAGGAATTCCTGAACACAAAGTATGAGATGCTTCCACAAATTAAAGAAAAAAAATCCTTTAAATGGATGATGTCCCTAGCAACAATCAGTTGTCAGAAATCTCACAATGACTACAGTATTAGAATACATTTAGAGATTTGTAGGGAATGGACACACCTGGGCAGATGTCACTTGGTAACACAATAAAATATATGTCAATTCACTTCAGTTTTTAATGTCTTTGCCTTTAATTTTTTTTAGATTCTTCTTAAACAAAGACCATTCAAGTATTATTTAATCAGGAAAAGTCATCTAATCCTTCAACTGAGTTAATGCAATTCACGTGTGATCCGACCAGCCTGAAATCTATATTGGTTGGATAACTCTTAATGTAATCAAACACAAAACAAATGATATATAATTTTTTTTAATAGGTTAAAGGGTGACCACGAGCCTCAGTCACAGCCCAAAAACAAAAATACATATTGTGTACCAAGATTTTATTTTCTGAAATCTAAAATATAATATTTATATCATTTTGATCACGATCATTTAACATTAAAAGCTGACTATGAGGCTCTTTGCTATTTTTCAAGATTTTATTTACTATTTTCTGCTATATAAAGTTAATATTAAATTTATATGTATGTTGCAACAATAAATTCTAATGACCCCTCAAGAATTCGAACGAAGGCCACTAGGCCACCTTACAGGCACGCACGCGCGCGAACACACACACACACACACACACACACACACACACACACACACACACACACACACACACACACACACACACACACACACACACACGCATGAATACATGCACCCATACAGCTATGCATGCACACACACATTCACATGAGATGCATGAGCGCACATACGTAAGTACGTGCATACAATACTCTATGTGCAGTAATTTGTTATCAGTTTGCAAATGAAGTATACATTTATACTTCAAAATGTACACGTTTTGTACACTTAAAAGTGTACAAAGTGTACGTTTTGTAGTGTACATCACTAGAAATAAATATGTATAATATAAACATGTGCAACACTGAATGGTATATAATTTATATATGTATATGATTTAATATATAATAGTTTTTACACAAACATATACAGTAAGTATACATATCACATATAGAAGTATATATATATATATATATATATATATATATATATATATATATATATATATATACACATATAATTTGTGTGTGTTTACTCTTTTTATCTGCAGAATCGAGCTATTAGCTCTTGGACCCCGCCTTTCTAACCAACTTATTTTTTCTATATTATGTCTACTACATATATTTCTCTTACACAACCACATACACACACACACACATCCCCAGGAAGCACCCCGTAGCAGCTGTCTAGCTCCCAGGTACCTATTTAGTGCTAGGTGAACAGGCACACCAGGGTGAAAGAAACTCTGGCCATTATGCCCAGCTCTGTGCGGGAGTGTGTGCATGAATATATTTATGTGCATATATTATTCCATGCTGCAGATGAGATCACTCATAAATAAATATATGTGACCAGTTTCTAATAATATTTTGTCAGCTGATGGCACAGGATACCGAAATTCCAGCCATCAATATCAAAACAGAATGAGAGGACGCTGCCATATTTAACATTAATGGAGGAACAGCTTCGGCTTCTTTAGAATGTGTACAACGTGAAGAATGATTTCTTCAGTTTGCTGGCATTAAGAGTAGACTATGAATACTGAGGTAAATTGAACTGCCATGAACCAGAGAGAGGCTGGTGACGCAGTTGGTGTGAACCTTGCATGTTGCAAGGTTCAACAACAGGTACGAATAGTTAATTTTAAAAGGGTGTAGCTGTTTTAGAGGTTGGGTATTATGCAGTAGAATGTTCGGGTGTAACCCATCGGGATTCCTTGTGAAGCTGTCTCGCTGAGATTGCTCCATGCAATCGGTCACATCAGCTGTAGGAGTTCAGTTTGGTTTACTGCGACCAGAGCCAAAACCTGCCCCTTCCCCCCCACCCTACCTTAGAAAGGCGCAGAGAGTGAGTTGCAATTCACCACCACCTTGAGAAAGCTCCAGAAAGTCAAAGCCTTACAAACAACTGGGGTGATAACAAGTCGTATGCCTCGAAATCGCCAAAGAAATCTGCAGACAATTCACACAGAAAAAGAGAAACATTCAAAATTAGAGCGAAACTCACGTTACTAAATGCCATTACATTTAGTAATATGACGTAGACGAGCACTATTGTCGTCTCGTAACTCCACTTGGCCAAATCCCGGGTACGTCGGTCCACACAACACTACATAAGTCCAGCAGCTAACACAATGCTACTACCGATGGCAGCCACTTTGTCTTCTCACAGGATCAAGTTAGGAGTTCTGGACTGCCTTAGGTGAACTACCCTCCTCAGCACAATCGCCTCCTCACGTCACCTCTGTGAACATAAACCTCATTAGCTAGACAGACAGTATACTGGAAGGCCTTAGGATAACACCCTTCCACCAGGAAACTGAAATTCTAATTGCATGCACAACCTAGATGGCGTTGATATCGTTATGCCACCCACCAGAGGTTATTATCATTGACCTCACCTCCTAACTGAGGTATGAAACAGGACCCTTTCACCTCCCCCAACAGATGGCGATGTCTGCGTCTCAGACATACCTGAGAGTTAGAGTGCAGGTCCATGGATGGCACCGAAATCGCCACTCCACACTCCAGCAACGGTGTTGATACCGTAACATTGGGCAGTGCTTCTTTTGCTTTGCTCAGGAAGTACCTCTTTTCTTCGGCGGTCCTGAAGGATGTGGGGAAGTGACAGCTTCATGTGCCATTTGGCCTGTGCTTCCATAGCTGTTACTGTGGATTACTTAAAGGCATGTTTGCACTTAGCTGCGGTCTTGCAGGTTTGGATCCTCGTGGAGGGGGCTCTCTGGGCAGCTCAATGAGCATGTGGTACTACTCTGGATGTAGAGATCCTGAAATCTTTGTTTTTTGCCTTGGCAGCTTTGCCCAGAATGCTCACCCTTCTCCTTTATGAGGAGATGGCGTCATTTTACTCGGCCGTCCTCGTATGTCGATAGGTGTTGGCTTCTTCATTAGATTTGGCTTGTTCCGTTTCCTTTTGTCTGCCTCTCTTTTCTTGTTCTCCTTCTAGAAGATGTAGTATGTCAAGTTTGGTCTGTAGCAGCCTTCTCCAGTAAACTTATTTATAACTTTTGGTTTTCTTTGGTTTCTGCCCCTCACTCAGAAGTGGTCTGGTAGGGTTGGCATCTGTCTGCTAATGGTCGAGGTAGATCCTTGGGAATCAGATTTAAAGGACATTATGTTTTTCAGCGTGAGTTCCTTTTCTGCTGGAAATCACAACTATACGTCGCAGAAAAGTGGCTTTACTCATGGTATGCGCCAGATCTTTCGCAGTTTGCCGCTTGGACACTGATATAAGAGGGCGTGTTGCTCATTTTGCTAGTTTCTGGTCCCACGATTCATGGGCTTTTTGGATTATTTCAGGTAGTCTGCAGTAGATTTGGTCAGTCCCTTTCCCTTATCTAGGATATGGTCTTTCAGGTCAGATATCCTCCCCAGCTGTGTCTGGTCATTGCGGGCTGGGTGGCCTCAGTTGCTCCGAACCGAGAGTAGGTTGGGAGCAATTCCCAACCGGTCGGTCTAGATGACCTCATTCCTTTGGTAGTGTTCTAGTTGCTCCCGGTCCCGAAAAGAAACTCGGCTCTGCCCATTCTGGAGTCAGATTTGGGGAAGGGGGGTTACTTCTGGCTACTTGATGGCAAGAACATCCTTAGTTTCCATCGCTTTTAGCCCACTTCTTTAGCGCTTCTAACGCCTTTAGTTACTTTTATACTTTCCATTCAAAAAACTATTTTGAGCAAGTCATTATGATGAATATTGTCATTCCTGATGTTCAGTATAATTGCTCACTTATTCTTCTTGGCTTTAAAACCTTTTATAAATAAACATGTAATGAAATTCCTTTGCAATAAGTTGCAAAAACATTTAGTTTGTTTAAACTTCAATGTGTATGAGTCTGCAAAGAAGTGTAATGCCATAGACTCTTAGAGCAACAGTCAGACCCGTTTCATACAAGTGTGGGCAGAAATGCTGCCCAGTCACTATCCATCAGCAGCAGAATCCACAGAATACAAGCTTTATTTATGAATTCTATTTGGATTCACTAGATTCATTCACTAGGCCATGGCGTAAACACCATGGCCTAGTGAAACCAGAGACTGATTCTGCAATTCATCGAGTGTGATAGAATAAGTAGCTGGAATGTGTAAACGCCAGGATCTCCTATCACCAAGAACCCCAACGGCTGGAGTTGAGAAACGTGAGCTTTGAACAACATTGTGCTTCTTAAAACTTAATTCTATTTACTTTTGGGAAAATCGAAGTCTCTCGAATACTTCCTTTTATCCTGAGGTAAACAGGAAATTAATTTGTTATAACCTCTGCAGGCATGCAATGTTATAAGAAGGTCAATGCTAACTCCTCCAATATCGGATTGATAGAAATATTGGCTTTAACATCGTATAAAAGCTAGAGAGAAACAGAGCATTCAGAAAACGTATTCTAAAAGTATTGTTGCACAGGCATAAAAATACTTTGCACATCTCTGGAGGTGAATGGAACACCCTGAAGCTATCATATGTCATGAAGGTGCACACTGACAAGAGTGCCCTCGCTTAATAGTTGTGTACTAGTGCATGTACAATGTAGTGATTGGAGTCACTACATTGTGGAGAGTAGGTGGTGGGTTGTCATGGAGTTCGATTAAGCAATGATACTCGTGATAGCATGTCCTTGGAGGATCATTATAGTATTCGGTAGATACCGTGGTGGTGATGATAACAGGGACCTAGGACTACAATCAAGGGGTTCAGTTCTAGTAGTTCTGGGAAAATTGCTGAAAGGTTCAGTAATGATGTTGGTGGTGGTGGTGGTAGCGTGGGCCCTGGGAGGCAGGGATGACGGAGGCATCGTGTGGGATGGAGAAGAACTGCTTTTGCCAGCGGTAGAGAGGTGGGCCAAAGCTGAAACAGTATTTCTTTTGCAATGGCTCCGATGACGCCGTCCAGTACATAATGTAGAAGTTGCACATCTCATCCTTGTTGAAGGGCCTGTTGGAGAGCAAGAGGCAGTGATGAAGCATTAATCAATATAGACGCTCCACCCAAGATGTGTCACAATACCATTATCATCACCATTATTTTGCTTATGACAAAAATACTGGGAAAAGTTTAATTTCCGTTATTCAAACAATTTAATTGAAACGGTATGTTATATATGTAGAGTACAAATGTATGTGCATATGGATGTCATAATTTATTCTTAAATAGCCATAGATATAATTGTAATTAATTATCAAAATGCAGTAAATAAGCAGATCAACAGAGTTTTGTATTTGTCTTCATTACCAAGTGAGGCAACGCTCTCCATTAACCATATACACAAATGTTTAAAATAACAATATTTATTGTTAATGCTCGTAACAAGATACACCAGGTATTTACTGTATACATCTGTATACAGTATTTTACATTCAAATGGCTTATCTAGACAGGACGACAATCAAGTAAAAATCAAGTAGGGTTATTTCTTCAGTTCAGATTAAACTGAGGGTGGATCAGGCTTAACCGTGGACTGAATAGGTTCAGATTAAATGGTGCCAAAGACTTCTAAAGGTGTCTGTGTAAGTGGTTGGGAGAGGGTGGAACTACAAGAAACAAGCTTCAATGCTCTGTTCAAAGGATCATAATTATAATATACAAACGACACAACAGTATACACATAGACAGGCACCAATCATGCATTTTTTAAAGTTATAATCTACATACAAATCTTAAGCTACTCACCGGTTGGTTAAAGCAGATGACACATCTTCAGAGGAGGAGGAGGAGAACCCTGCAAAAGTCTCTTTGATGATGGAAAGGGCAGGCTGCTCCTGTAGTGTGGATGGCGTAGTTCTTTGGTGGGTTGACACGTACAGGGTATGGTACTCATATGTTAGTGGAATGGGTAGTTAATCTATTGGGGTGGTACCAAAAAAGGGTTGATATATTGTGTTAGAAGAATTGTTAATTCTCAAGTGAGTAAATGGGGAAGTGATTATATTGTGCATTAGGGGGAGGGCGAGGTTGTTCCTTGGTTTAAAGTAGAATATTTACATGTGAGAGAGAGTATGGTTCTCTGGTTTGTTTAGTTTCTGGTGGGTTAAGCTGGTGGTTCTCTGTGTTTGGACGCGTCTCTGGTTGACAAAGGAAGGGCAGTGACCCATTGACGGCTGAGAAGGAGGTTTTCTGATTGGTTAGGGGAAAGTGGGGTAGACTCTTGTTGACTAGCTAAAGAGGTGGTTACATGCTTGGAAAAGGAGAGGTAGTAGTTCTCGTGTATAGTTAGAAGGATTAGGGTTATTCTCAATTTAATACAAAAAAGACGGCAGGTCTCTGATTTTTAGTGTTTTGATTTAGGTATCAGGTTTAGGGACATTAACCACTCGGCACTGAATGGCCTGTGTATCTTTCCCAGAACACCATCTTTCAGTCATTTTACTTCCTGATCCGCCGGTACTTCATGGAGCATTTTAACAGAGCAGCTCGTTCTCGCAAGCATTCTCAACGCCAAGAAACTGTCGTACTAGAGTACTTCAGCCCAACCAACCAGAGGACACACGAACAGAAAACAGGACATTATATCTATTTCGCAAGCCGCTACCATTTTCTTGTACATCAGTTTTTGGTCTTTGGTAAAGCATACGTCAAAATGTGACGTGCTGTAAAGAGATCAGCCTACCAGTGGTAGGGTGATCACATTTCCTTGAGACAAATACATTGTGATGGCAAAAACGAGTTATGTAATATTCTATATTCGTGAAAAAGTAAGATGATAAAAAAAAGTTTTATTACAAAACATGCTGAGTTTACAATTATTCTTCTGTGACATAACCCATGCTAAAATTTACTACAAATTTACTAAAATTTACTCAAATTTATATACTAAAAGCCAGAGTGTTTTCAGCATCTTTATGTTTCTGACTACGTAGATGTTAGTTGATGTCGCTGCTTCCTCCACGAGCAACGGAACAATGGACATTACACTGTTGGCAGATCACTTTTGTTTCATCACCTCACTGTTTGTCCTGTTTAATCAATTTGAATTCCATCTGGAGATCGTAATTAAAACTGCAGTTTTGTCTCTTTGACATTTACAAGGATAGACCTAAAGCTTTAACAAATATGAAGTTTAAGCCACCGGCATAGAATAACAAAGCCAGGGGTTAACAGAGGCAAAGCAAAAACTAACGCTAGTGCAGTGAAGACGTGCAAGGCTTGCCAACATGTATATATTATTTTTGTATAATAATAAAAATAATAATAATTTATTTTCAAGAAGGTACAATGGGTTTGTGAGAGTACATAATATTGGTATTATATTCTTGCAAAGCCACTAACACGCACAGCGTTTCGGGCAGAAACAGGCAGCGTTTCTCATACCGATAATTAGTATCTAACAATGCAATTCTGTGGTTATACGAATTACTGGAAGCCGTGATGCTGATATGCGATTGCTGGTTATGAATAATAATTTGTGATTGATCAATTTTAAAATATATTTATAGTTTTTATTAAAAACGGAACAAGATTGATATTTTTATTAAAACGACGGGACGGCCGGGAAATATGACAACAAATAACAGTATTGTCGCATTCAAAACGGTACGTATGGTCAGCCTACCCAGTGGCCCTACTCTGCCCAGGATTCGAACCCAGGTTCTCTAATAGTTCTTCAGTTGGGAAGGAGGGGTCTCGGGTTGACGAAGGAAGAGTAACCAAAGCTAGGTAATCTCCTAGTTGGTTATAGGTAAGGTAATCTCCTAGTTGGTTATAGGTAAGGTAATCTCCTAGCTGGTTATAGGTAAGGTAATCTCCTAGCTGGTTATAGGTAAGGTAATCTCCAAGTTGGTTATAGGTAAGGTAATCTCCAACTTGGTTATAGGTAAGGTAATCTCCAACTTGGTTATAGGTAAGGTAATCTCCAACTTAGTTATAGGTAAGGTAATCTCCTAGTTGGTTATAGGTAAGGTAATCTCCTAGCTGGTTATAGGTAAGGTAATCTCCAAGTTGGTTATAGGTAAGGTAATCTCCAAGTTGGTTATAGGTAAGGTAATCTCCAACTTGGTTATAGGTAAGGTAATCTCCAAGTTGGTTATAGGTAAGGTAATCTCCTAGCTGGATATAGGTAAGGTAATCTCCTAGCTGGTTTTAGGTAAGGTAATCTCCAACTTGGTTATAGGTAAGGTAATCTCCAACTTAGTTATAGGTAAGGTAATCTCCTAGATGGTTATAGGTAAGGTATTCTCCTAGTTGGTTATAGGTAAAGAGTAATTTATTAGGTAAAGAATAATCGTTTAGTTAGTTATAGATAAAGAGTAATCGTCTATCTGGTTATAGGACGAGGGCAATCTTCTAGTTGGTCATAGGTAAAGGTAATGTCTTAGTTGATTATAGATAAGGGTAATCTTCGAGTTGGTTAAAGGTAAAGGGTGATTTTCTGTTGGTTATAGGTAAAGGGAAGTCGACTAGTTGGTTAGGAAAATGATTCTCAAGTTTAGTTGGTCATGGGACTTAACTCTCTTGGTTTATGTTTAGTCGCTATATTGAGTCAGGGAGATGGAGAGGTTTTCTAATTGTTTAGTGAGAGAGGTTGCTTTCCTACGGATTGTGGGAATGGTGTGGCCCTCAGGGGAGTTAAGAGGGAAGGGGTGGTATTCAGGTAGGTTAAGTGGCGGGTTAAGGAGACAGTGGTACATAGGTGGGGTAAGACGAATGAGTGATACTCACCTATTTGTGATTGCGGGGGTTAAGCTTTGCCTCTTTGGTCCCGCCTCTCATCTGTAAGTCAACTGGTGTACAGAATCCTGAGCCTATTGGGTTCTATCTTATGTTTATTTGAAACTGTGTATGGCGTCTGCCTCCACCACATCACTGCATAGTGCATTTCATTTGTTAACTACCCTGTCACTAAAAAATAATCATTCTAATATCTGTGGCCCCAATGTTCGCGATCCACCCATGCTAAATAGTTGGTCTTTGTCTACCCTGTCAATTCCTAAGATAATTTTGCAGGTACTGATTATGTCTTCCCTAACTCTTATGTCTTACAGGGAAGTGAGGTTTAATTCCCGTAGCCTTTCCTCGTAACTCATACCTCTCAGTTCTGGGACCAGTCTGGTGTTGTCCCTAGACACTGGTATTCAGGTGGGTTAAGTAGTTCTCAAGTGGGATAGGAAGATGAATATGCGTATGAGTATCATTTGATACTTGAGTATGCTAGTCACTTGAGTAGGCTAATACTCATGTGAGCAAGAAGGTGTTGGCTGCGGGGTTTAGTGAGTTGACGGGAAGGTGATGGTCTGTGATGCTCCTGGACGCTGTGTAGAGACGAGAGCAGCAGGGATAGTTCCAGGAACTAAGAAAAAAAGGTCACTGCGTGCATTTGTTTATTAATATGACATGGTACAGTGTAGGTGTGGTTTAAGAACAACTGTATTGGTATATTCTGTTTTAAATTAGGAAATATCTCGTCAAATTGTTTCAATCCTATTTTATTTCTTATTTTCCCTTCTGCCTTTCTTATTATTTTGCTTCTTTTCCATTGCATATATCTGAACCGCCATACTCCCATGGAACACATTCACACACTCACTCAACACCTGTGAGACATGCATTTTCCTAGTTGTATTCACCTAGTTGTGCTTGCGGGGGTTGAGCTCTGCTCTTTCAACCCGCCTCCTGTCAATTAATCAAATGTTACTAACTAATGGCCCCCCACACACACACACAGATCCAGGAGGCAGCCCGTAACAGCTGTCTAACTCCCAGGTGCCTATTTACTGCTATTTAACAGGGGCATCAGAGTGAAAGAAACTCTGCCCATTTTGTTTCTCGCCTGCGCCGGGAATCGAACCTCGGTCCACAGAAGTAGAGTTCCACAAGGACTAGGCCTACTACTCATTCCATTCTACATATATGTCAACTACGCAACCACTCAGGTAGTCCTAAATGTCAGTGTTTGCAGACGATGCAGAATTAATTAGAGGAATCAAGACAGGAAGACTGTAGAATACCTCAAGAAGACGTATAGTGCAGTGATGATGTAAAAAATTGCAATTCAATAATAGTAAGTAAAATGCGCTAAAAATGAGGAGCGGTGCAGAAATGATGAAACATAAGTCAACGGGAACAACCTTTCTCAAACAAATGACGATATAGATCTAGAATCTATATAACGCGAAGTCTTACAACAGAAGAACATGAAAGTAGGGTGTTAACAGTGGCATATTTTATACCAGTGGATCCCTATCGGTTGGTCGCGGGACCTGAATTCTGAGTACCAGTAAATCTGAGACATCGATAATTAGTAAAAAATGGTGGGCTTCCTGATTAGGCAATTTTTTAGATTTGGAAAGCGTGCAGGGTATCGCAGGTCTTTTGAGTGTTAGAAAATTCGTCCACGAGTTTAAAAAGATTGGGAACCACTACTCTGAACTAACGAATATTTGAATTGCCTTTAGGAACCCCAGTAAGAGGGATTCACAGCACTCTGCACCACGTCTTTGAAACAAATAGTAACATTATGATGGCAAAAGTGGATGGGAAGTACAAGTAATTGTACTCCCCTCCACGATGGGGAGTACTTGTATTTCCCAGCGTGGAGTCACGATAACTCACAAAGTTCATAAAGAAAGTTGAAAACACTGTTTTTTGCAATGAGGATTCTGTCTTATTACGTGGTACGAAAAAAAAGCTGAAAGAGCTGATTCTAATCAACCAAGAAAGAGAGAAGATAAGAGAAGAGAACTAGACAAACAAAATACTTTGGGAAACTTGCAGGGTTAAACAACATAAAATATTCTCAAATAATAAGATGCCAACGATTATGGGTCGAAGCTAAAGACAGAGACGCACAACATGTATTGAAACAGCAAAGAGTTCTGAATTTAATTGAATTTACCCGAGGGCGATCATCTCTAGTGGCCTTAACGGGGACAGGAAGCCAGCGACTTCTTGAAGGTTCCCTCATTATTCGTTAGGCTTATTTTTAGCTAAATGTCACACTTGGTAAATTTTTCAAAGATGTTAGTCGAATTTCTCTGCACGTTCTCCTAAGACAGACTTGCTTAAAAAGTTAAATATAAGATACTTTTTTCACCTTACCCGGCGAAGACGTATGTGCCAAGACAAAGCTTGTTTACCATTCAACTGGAAAAAATATTCAAGAATAATGGAGGTAGCGTTGACAAGCTGCCGTCTTCCTGTATCCCAATAAGGAAATGACTCGGATAAATTCAGGTAAAAAGTACTATACTGTACTGACTTATCATTACCAATGTTCTGACTCAGTGTGGGGAGGCATCAGTTAATGTAAAAAACAAAACAAAAGATTAATATTCAGTAGTAAGAGAAGGTTATAGACATCAAATAATATAATGTTACAAATTATTCGTACATTCATTATATAATAATTATTAATAATTTTGATATAACGGATGGATGAATTATATTTATACTAATTTATTATTTAACATCTATAACCTTCTTTCACCAGAGCACATTACTCACCATTTTTTCTGAACTGATGCCTCTTCACACCATGAGTCAGAAAATGGGTAATGAGTCACAATACAGAATATATAACTTCACTTATAAACACGCTTCACCACACTTCAGCAGTCATCCACAACAGCAACCCACAGCTTTACAACACCAAGTGTACAGTACCCATCATGACCTCTTATACAGCATCCATTACAAATACATTTATTCCCTTGTTATATACAGCTTCTAAGTGGTACAGTGTGGGTCATGTGTAAGCCGTATTGCTATTACGGTAATACTGGATTATAATTTATTTGTTTTCTATATCTATAATTTCTGTTTTCTATATTGACGTGTCACTCCATGCCTCAGCACGTATTTTGATCTTTATTTTAAACGAATTTGCCTCTGAACACCGGAATTTTATGATATATAATAGAGTACTGTGCCATAACATTTGCTGATTTGCATATTTCTGGACAAAGCTCTTCATCTTTCATATTAAAATTTTGGTTCTAAATTTTTACAATAATTATTCACACTACCTTAAATGTCTAGTACTTAAGAACCCATAATCCACTTGTGTATTTATTTGTATCATTCATTTCTTCTTGCAAATACAGTACTGTACTTATCCTTTCACGTTTTTCAAGAGAAATTTCCCATCCACATCTGCCACTGTGTATACAGGTACGAGGGCATTACTACTTGTGTTCCAGCTTTTAGAGATCTTTTTATTCATCAGGAAGGTTCTTGAATCTGGTATCGTTTTTCCAGTAGTAATACGGTGGACCGGCACTGAAGCAAGCCTTCTGCTGAAGTATGTTTTCAATGCCTCCATCCACAGAGTACATGATATAGAAATTGCACATCTCATCAGCATTCGTACTCCTTACGATAGAAAAGTCAAAAGTATTAATTACAATATCTTTTTCATTTATGTTCTTTGCAAGCAGTGGAAGCAAAGCAGCATGTCTGTGGTAATAAAGTGGTGCTCACTCAAAACTCGGGTGTAAAATAAAAAAGCAATCTCAACAAAACAATATAATAAATAACACAAATACTATTTTTTAAAGGATAAATAAATATGAAGCACTTTTCTTTTTAGCCAACATCATTATGAAGTGTTTGAAAGACAATCTACAATCTTATGCGCTTCAAAAAATATATTGTCTTCCAAAACAAGATGCCATGCAAAAGATCAAAAGTCACAACACAGTATTGGGCCTTTCGCCAATTTTCTTTGTTAAGCACCTATTCTAAGCTACTATTGCTGTCTGCCTATTTTTTCTTTACTAGCCTAAGAATATCTTGGCAGGAATGCATAATGAACTGATATCAATCAGTTGTATATTATGATCATTGTAACTAGTACAAGCAGCTGCATATTTGCGTCATGCATAATCTGCAGCTTCATTAAAAATGCTATAGTATACTGACATACCAAAGACAATCATTAGCTACATTACACTATTATAGTGTAGGCATAATATAGCAGCCTTGGAGTTGAAGTACCATTTACCGAACCAGAATAGGGGTTCCTCAAGACAAAACATGTTATATCTGGTGAGGGTCTATGCCTTGCTCCTGGGCCGAGGTACCGACAGACAAGGAGGAAGCATCCCTATCGGGAATGTTGCTGAGGCCACCACGGGTCCAGTAATAGAAGGGGGGCCCAAGGGAGAAGCAGGTCTTTTTCTTCATGATATTTCCGTTTGTCCAGTACATCATATAGAAGTTACACATCTCATCCTCATTTGTGGAGCTGCAAGTAAGTATTGGGAGGGGCACTGGTGAACATTCTACTAGGAAAGGACTAGAAAAAAGGATTAATGAGCTAGAAATGCCTCTTCCTTCCTAAGGTTTCATGTCAAGTTACATGAACACAAGAGAGATCAATACAGGAATACTGTAGTGTAATTAAAGTGGAAGAGCTTGAAAGAACATTTTTTTTAATATTTTGAGAAGTTATTTTCCTATAAGAACCCTCATCCAGTGTTTATGTACATGATTTTACAGGGAAGGATCTACTTCTGATGTACAGCACACTACATCTGACGTACAGCACACTACTTCTGACGTACAGTACACTACTTCTGACGTACAGCACACTACTTCTGACGTACAGTACACTACTTCTGATGTAAAGTACACTACTGATATCACTGCATGTACCTCACAGCTAGCATGCACCTCAGGACACCAACACACAACCATTGTCAATTAAGCATTACAACTTAAAATAACCAACTAAGCTAAAGAAAAAAATAGCTTATTTCTAGTATATTGTAGTGTACCATAATTAGTACTAGTTTCATACTATAAGATCAAGTGAAGAAGAGGTTGAGAGAATATTAATGAGACAATCTGCTCTGAACTGCTGCACCATGCACGAAATTAAAAATTTGTTATCAAAATTTCTGTGCTGCGCTAAATGTTGTCATGCAAGAACCAGCGTTGCACCAAACAACCTTCTCTTCCGGTGGTTTGTGGCATGCAAACAACTCTTCATTCCAATTCATTCAGGCTGTATTGGATTTTCAAATCATGCATTTGAATGAATTAATCCGTCCTAAAATTCAATATCATAATTTTTGATCCAGAGACAATGTTATTCGCAATATTCTTTGGTGTATCAAACAACAAATTATCTGTATTATACTGACAACTACAAAGTAGATATGAAGTGCATGAAATGTGATTGTAACATTTCCACCGCCTCGCACTGGATGACAAAATAGGGAGGCCTTATCTATATGGCTGATTTTGTCCTAGACAACCAGTATGAACACAGATGAACAAGCCAGTCTTTGCACTTAGTGGGTGTGGCTGGCCCCCAACTAGTGTACTGGAGTACTAGGTTACTAGTAATTCTTCTTCCTCTTCTGTTCCTGTCACTTAGAGACTGTAATTGTGGTAATTTTGTTTAACTATTGTTGATATAATTAAAATATGTATTAAACTAACTAGCTCATGAAGACTAGCTGGCTTAGCTAAATTAATTTTGGGGTCGAGTCCTAGAATCTCTTATATGCCCTTGTAACCTTTTCCACTACCGCCAACGGGATGGGTAAAAGGTGCATAATTAAAAACTAAACTCTGATTTGTTCTCGGTGGCTCCCTGTAGATGCTCACATACGCTTCCCAAAAGTGTTTATTTCCCTACCAGAGATCCGGTCCCGCCTCACCGACGGGCAGTGAGCAGGGGATTCTGAACGACCGCCTTCACCAAAGGAAACGTCCAGGAAAGTAAGCAGAGTAAAACAGACAAGGTTCACAAATAAAGTAGCACACTACTCCAGACTACACTATGGGGTATAATAATAGTAATCCTATATATTTATGACAGCTATATCAGAGGAAATATTGCCAATTTAAATAAAGAGATGAAAATATTACTCACTCTGGGTTGGTCGCGGCATCATGTTCTAACAGGAAAATAATCCTATCTACCTAACATTACTGGCCAGGAATGACTAGATAAGACTTCAGAATTGGACACTTCCCTTGTTTAGATGATGACAGTGTTGATAATGGAAGCACTAATTTACTCTCCATAACACTTCGTCCAAGGGAGTATATAGGAGCTGTTCTGCTCCAGGGACCCATTGCTCAATTAACAATGGCTGACTCTCCTCCACTGACGCCCTGGCTCTCTTGTCCAGATTTCAAAAAGTGGTAGAAAGGTCACATTTACTCTATTTTGATACTAATAATTAAGTTAATTCAAATGAAATGTTTTTATGATGTTAAAAGTTCAAAGACTGCTGTATTAAGAATGTTCCCAACAGAATTAGCTGGTGAATTAAAAGCGACATGTGGCAATAATATCCCATTTTCTATTGATGGAAATTTCCACTGTGCTACATTTTCTTTATGAATAAACACTATTTCTATGGTTAATTTGTTACTTACACAACAGCAGAAATATTATCTGCATATTATATTATTAGTAAATGGTGTTGGGTTTTCCGACACCACAGGAGAAGATGAAACCTGTGTTAGACATGTAACAATATAGCATCTGGCACATCGCACAGTACCCCGGAAGGAGAGAACCTCCTCAATGACCCCCGGGAGGTCTGACACAGGACACAGGTTTAGTGAACACTGGTCACTAAAACCCTAGCCCACGGCCGAGGCATCCATGCACGCAACAAGCGATGGGATAAGAACCGAACCCTGAGAAGCTCAAAGAGGAAACTGGCAAACCGAACGCTGGTGAAGGGCACATGGATCTCGCCCTCGGCGAGAGCTAAAAAAGAGCGAAACTTGAGAAAACAGAACAGCTTCAAGAGCAAAATTTCGTTGATGGGGTACACCACACAAGCAAAGGGCAGGTACCTGCACAATCTCTCGACCAACTGCCGAGTAATCCAAGATTGCTCCAACACCAGAGACAACACTGCATAGAGCAGAAGAAAAGGAAATAGAAGGTGACCAGGAGTCATAAATGAAGCCCAATCAATTCCAAACTTGGAATGGAATCACTTGGACTTACTCCAGTTCATTAGAATTTCGAACTAAGCTAACTGGGAAAATAATTAGATACCTGGCTTGCAGTCACACAAACTGGATGGGAGCCAAAACCTGTCAGGCATCAAGATAAGCTAAGACATATCTTGAAAAGATGTAACCAGGTCACAACAACCTGGGCTAACCAGGTAAATATCTTTGGTGCTAGATTCATACTGAAAGGAAGAACCTGGAATTGATAAGCAAGACATCTCACAAGAAGTTAATTGAATATAGTGAATGAAAGGGAATTCTCAGTGAAGTCATGTAATGGCAGGAGAAGCTGAAAAAGGCCAACGAAGGTGAACAGAAGACTAGCAAACCCAAACGTCACATGCCTTGAGAGAGAATAATACCCACCCAACAGGCAGCAGATGAATACAGTACAAATGACCCTGGGTTTATAGCAAAACCAATGGACTTCCCTCAGTCTTGCGAGGCGCAAGTGTTGAAACATAATGAGCGGGTTGAAACATAATGATCCACACCAAAGAATAGAGGGTTTGCCAGGGCTTGAAGGTAAAAACTAAGCAGGATAGCTAGACATTAGGGACGCTCACTGAAAGAAATAATACCGAGCATAGCCATCAGGTTAAACGCAGCTAAGAAGGGCATCATCCGTGTTCAATATGTACAAGCACGTAAACCTTCGCGCGCCCCCTAATTCAGCAAACTCTAGAACACTCATAAACTCCGAGTCTTGCAGAGGAGTCAATGATCCATGCGCTACTCATGGCGAGTCACCCTAAACAGAAAGCCGGCTTCTATGGGATGAACTCCAAAAATCACTGGGGAAATGAAGTCACTCTGTTAGAGCAGGTGTATCACTAGATGACCACCTAGGAAAGGGCTGGCTTAAGCACATGCAGCTCGAAGTGGACAATTTTCAAATTACACACAAGTGAGGCTTGTAAACTCACCCACATGAAACTTACACTAAGTCATGGAGTTATACACAAGAAAATGGACCCCCTCCCCCCAGGACACGGTCAAAATGATAGTCAGCACTTATCTAGATATAGTTGGGATCAGAGAGGCTTGGCGACAACAGGAGCGGTTCTTCTAGGGGGACATTCCGCGAAGAACTGACAGATGTTGACATTGGCAGCTCCCGAGGTGCTGCCACCTGACGATGACTAGCTGTAACTATGGGGCTCGACCTAACTACTGGGTAGATCGTTTGCAGAATCATTTGCTGCTGCATTTCTCTTTTCGCTGTTTTACTTTGCTTACTTTCTGGACGTTTCCTTTTATGAGAGTGAACAAAAAGAATTCCCCGCTCCCTGCGCCTGTGTGAGGGAGGCCTTCTCGAGGTTATCTTGAGATGATTTCGGGGCTTTTTAGTGTCCCTGCGGCCCGGTCCTCGACCAGGCCTCCACCCCCAGGAAGCAGCCCGTGACAGCTGACTTACACCCAGGTACCTATTTTACTGCTAGGTAACAGGGGCATAGGGTGAAAGAAACTCTGCCCATTGTTTCTCGCCGGCGCCTGGGATCGAACCCAGGACCACAGGATCACAAATCCAGCGTGCTGTCCGCTCGGCCGACCGGCTCCTCTAATCTGGAGGCCTGGCTCTGGATCTAATCTCTAGTAGGCAATTAAGGACTCCCGGGGCTGATGTGACTCGTGTGTGTGGAGTTGTCTCTGTGTAACTGCCTACCTAATGGCAGCCTCTGAAGCCTCACTAGTAAGAACCAAATAAAAAAATGTAAAAAATCATTATTCACAGGATGATTATTTTTTTTAATTATGCCTTTAAAGACATCCTGTAACTTGATGCTTAATATTCATGCTACATAAAAGTTATAACCGGCACGTGTTTTACATTGTAAATTTTGATAACATTAAGACTATATGAACTGTGTTCAGTCACACTAATAGTTCCTTAAGATGAATTAAAACACGCCTCAGTTAGATCTTAAGACATGTTATCAGAATAAAAATTGGACTGTATGACGTAAATTTCTAGTTTAAAGGTTAAACGAATTTCATGTTCCCTTGTGTCTGCTTTTGCAAGAACTAATCCTCTCAAAACTCTGAGCATGGTTACACACCTTATAAAAATACCAAATACAGTATTATTACTAAAAAGTTTTTACCTGAATTTACCTCCCGTATTTTAATAATTTTTTTAATTATCGTACATATTCTGTAATTAGTTAATTAATTTGTGTAAATCCTTTTACATTATATCATTAACCATTAGTAAATATAAACATGCCATCAAAGCCCTATAAAAGGTAGAACTATTGACTTTGGATATGAAGAATTAGTAATTAATTAATATTATTAAGAAGCAATTGTGACAGTTATCCTGCCAGTGTTGATCTAATGGAGTGAGACATGGATATGTTTGGTACAAGCGCTAGAGCTACAAATATGAAGTCTAATGCAGGTGACAGGGTAAGCCGCACAACATTGTATGGGGAGGAAAGTGTACATGTGGGGGAGATGTCAACACGATGGCAATTAGTAAAAATAGCAGGCAAAATGTAAATGTTTCGTCGGACTACCTGGAGGCTATCCTATCATCCCCCTCTCCTTGTCCTATAGAGGAAAGTTCTCTGGTAGACTGAGCCTTCAGAGTGGGAGACATATGGTACACTATTGTGTTATTGAAAATTCAACTTTTCCTTACCTTGTTAATTCTTCTTAATTACAGGCTCATGATACCACATACTTTATATATTCCCACATCACATTCTACTGTTTATCATTGTTTAAACTCTAAAAGCCTCAAAGCATTCTACAGACAATATACAATTGCACTAATTAAGGTTAAAAGAAAAGAAGGAAACAAAGGAAAACTTCAAATTAAAAGCATTACAACACATGCATTAACCAAACAAAACAAAAAAGAGAAAATGCAAAAGCTCAAACTGAAAACTATAACATGCAATCAAGTTATAATTGGTCAATAAAAAAGTATATATATTATATATATATATATTATTAAATATGACCGAAAAAGTAAGATTAATAATTCTAACACGAATTTTCTCAATCTTTCGTACATTTCGTTTCACTGTTGGAGGTAAATAAAAATCAACTCTCCAAAATTCATTTTTATTTCTAGTCTGACGCGACACGAGCGCGTTTCGTAAAACTTATTACATTTTCAAAGACTTTAGTTCACAAATACACAACTGAATAGAACTTACGCATCTCCGATTTTATATCTACATTTGAGTGAGGTGGAAGGGGTGATGTGGCATTAACACAAGACAGAACAAGATATGGTATATTAATAGGGTATTAATTTCATCAACACAAGACAGAACAAGAGTATTAATAGGGTATTAATTTCATCAACACAAGACAGAACACGAAACAATGGATATTGAATAGAAGTGTTTGTAGAAAGCCTATTGGTCCATATTTCTTGATGCTACTATATTGGAGCGGAGTCTTGAGGTGGGTAGAATATAGTTGTGCAATAATTGGCTGTTGATTGCTGGTGTTGACTTCTTGATGTGTAGTGCCTCGCAAACGTCAAGCCGCCTGCTATCGCTGTATCTATCGATGATTTCTGTGTTGTTTACTAGGATTTCTCTGGCGATGGTTTGGTTGTGGGAAGAGATTATATGTTCCTTAATGGAGCCCTGTTGCTTATGCATCGTTAAACGCCTAGAAAGAGATGTTGTTGTCTTGCCTATATACTGGGTTTTTTGGAGCTTACAGTCCCAGTATATAGGCAAGACAACAACATCTCTTTCTAGGCGTTTAACGATGCATAAGTAACAGGGCTCCATTAAGGAACATATAATCTCTTCCCACAACCAAACCATCGCCAGAGAAATCCTAGTAAACACCACAGAAATCATCGATAGATACAGCGATAGCAGGCGGCTTGACGTTTGCGAGGCACTACACATCAAGAAGTCAACACCAGCAATCAACAGCCAATTATTGCACAACTATATTCTACCCACCTCAAGACTCCGCTCCAATATAGAAGCATCAAGAAATATGGACCAATAGGCTTTCTACAAACACTTCTATTCAATATCCATTGTTTCGTGTTCTGTCTTGTGTTGATGAAATTAATACCCTATTAATACTCTTGTTCTGTCTTGTGTTGATGAAATTAATACCCTATTAATACCATATCTTGTTCTGTCTTGTGTTAATGCCACATCACCCCTTCCACCTCACTCAAATGTAGATATAAAATCGGAGATGCGTAAGTTCTATTCAGTTGTGTATTTGTGAACTAAAGTCTTTGAAAATGTAATAAGTTTTACGAAACGCGCTCGTGTCGCGTCAGACTAGAAATAAAAATGAATTTTGGAGAATTGATTTTTGATATACCTCCAACAGTGAAACGAAATGTACGAAAGATTGAGAAAATTCGTGTTAGAATTATTAATCTTACTTTTTCGGTCATATTTAATAATATATGTCTACAGGAAAGACTGCTATCAAAATATACTAATATATATATATATATATATATATATATATATATATATATATATATATATATATATATATATATATATATATATATATATATATATATATATATATATATATATATATATATATATATATATATATACTTATTACTTAAAATATATCAAAATATACGAATAAACTAAAACATTTAAGATGCACTAGTTTTACTAGCTGAACAATATAGTATAGAGTCGATGGCTTACCCGACCCTGGTGGTACGGTCCCGCTTGCTCTCCATGGTGCAGCGTGCAGCCTGGGCCAAACAGTTCTTATTAGAATCACAATTATGACTATGGTAAAACAATTTAATACATCCTCTCTTACACAAAATTTAACATTAAAGATATAATATTTTCATGTTATGTAATCTTGCATTGTTTCTCTAAAAATGATCCTGGTACATTTGACTCACATTTGCTGTAGTACTACTTTATTCAATAGTTTGTTCTTGTTATTTAATATCTCACTTTTTATGTCGTGTGCCTCTACATTTCGTACACTATACATTTGTACTCTCATAAATACTGAAAATAGCTTCATCATTATTTTCACTTTTATTTGATTCATATAGTCATGCCATCTTCACCAAACTCACCAAATGTCCACCATTTCTAATGATCCTGGTAGTGACAGGAAGCCTGATAATTGCATTGGATTCCCTATATTTTTTTAGGATTCTTGTGGAATTACTCCAGTGAGATTCTACTCCTCAGAATTACATTTTGTTTTGTGTCTTTTACCCAGTTACCCAATGTTTTAAGACTGTCTAGCAGTTTGTCGTTGATTCTATTTGTTTTTATTTTCAGAGTAAAATTTTCACAAGGCAGATCAACCCTTAAAGTGCGGTTATCGTCATATGTTGATCACCACGGTAATACAGTTGTCATCATGCAGTGGCACCACGAAAATATGGACCTCGATGTAACAGACTTTAAGAAAGGACCAAGTCAGCACATCAGATTTTTTCATTCGAATAAAAAAAAATCGGAGTAAAGATGTGGTAAAAATTTAGATTACATGAAATTATTTTCATTGCATTATTCAGTATGTTTTCCTAATCTTTTTTTTAATTTATATTATTTAAAATAATGCTTTTATGCTTTTTAATGTTTCACTGAGCTGCAATATAAATTTCACAAAAATTTGTTAATTTTGTTCTGGAAATTGCGTTGCTCAGCAGTGCACATGTACCGCCTGTGTGTATTCCGTGTGTGTGTGCGTTGTGACCTCTCCTTACTAAAGCCTTTTCAATTAGTTTTTGTTGGATATGTTATTATCTTCAAATTGAAACCATATATCCGGCAAAGATTGAGCAGGTGAGGGAAAGAGTAACTTCCTTACCATGGATAAAAAGGCAGAGTTATTAAGAAACTAGATCCTGGTGTGGCAGACAAATGATTGGCAGAAGAGTGCACTGTTTCCGATTTTAATTTAAAAAGCAAATGAAGGAAATCCTGGAATTTGCCAGTAAGTTTTAAAGCAATGGTGGAATAAGAAAGCAACCTGGTCTGGTGAGCAGGTGACTGGGTTATTTATGTCCTGCCTGTGTCTCTTAGTGACAGCATTTTGAAGTTGTCTGGCACTCATTTTGCCTCATTCTATCTCTTTGATGCCTTTCCTCGGTGTGTTCCTTCACCTCCAGCCGGCTCATGCTCTACCTGAACCATCTTAGTCTTTTGACAAGGTGTTGGCGTTTTTTTCCTCTCCTTGGGTCACAGTTGCTCCTTCGGTCATTGTTATTTTCTCAAACTTTTGTTTTTGTTGGCTCTGAACTCCGGCTGCAGGGGTGGGAAACCTCCTGCGCTTCTCCAGAGACGGAGGTTTTGTTCATTCGGCCCTGGAAGGCCGTTCATACATTTGCAGCCGTTTTCTTTTCTGTCGAAGAATGAATTGGCTGGCTTCCATTGGGGTCCTTGGTTGCTTGGATGGTCTGGATAAGATGCATCATACGGTGTGTCTGGTACCGGCCTTTTGCCAGTATTTGCATACCATAGGTTTTGCCTCGCTGGATGCCTTATTGGTTGACCATGTTTCCTTGGTCCCTTGTTCCAAGGGTCGCATTTCTCAAGTTGTCCTCAGCATCATCAAAACTTGACAGCATACGGTCTACACTCAGACCCATAATGTTCATAAATACGCTGCTTTGGCTGCTGTGTTTTACAACATATCTTGCGCCGCATTTGTACTCTGGGGTTTTGAAGGTCTTATAGGGTCTTTGTAGCCTGGTACCTGATTAATGTTCCTGGTATCAATTAGTCTTGTGTGGCACTGGCCCTTCGGCCTCTTTTCGAACCAAGTACCTGCCATCTCTCCTCCTTCCTGGAAAGTCCCCTGTATTCTTTATTTCTCTGTGATGAGTTAGTTTCAGGGAGCCCCTTGATGGCTCCCCAGAAAACAAGCATTGAATGTTATGAAACATCTTTTTTCTTGTAGAGCCAAAGACGCTCCCTGACACCGACTCACCCTACCAGGTTCGTTGGTTGGTTATGAATCGGCTCCAGATTGATAATGGAACCAGCTGTTGGCTGGGAAGCTATGGGCCGCCTGGTGATGGCATTAGTACCAGGTTCGAGCTAGTTTTGAGTGAGCCAATAGTTTGGAATGAATTATTTGTGGAGTAGTGTGGCTGTTTCGATGCTGTGTTTTCTATGATTCTTTCAGTTGACTGTAAAGCTTCACTGACTTTCTAGATGTTTTCTTTGTAAACGTGATGATAATTGTCTTTTGTTTCCTTTTGGTTCTGTGATGGGGGGCTGGATTCTGGCTATGGTCTTCGGTAGGCCAAACAGAACTCCGGCGAGTGATGTGACCCAGTAACGTCAAGTTATCACGAGTGAACAGTAAGTCACTATGACTATATCGCACTTGGAAGGGATATGAAGGTCAGGATTTGAGAATTGAAAAGAGGAATGGTGCCTAACCACATGGACAGTCCGGGACTGAACACCGACCTGCAAGAAACGAAGCCATCGCTCTACCATCCGGTCAAAGTGGCTGGACTGATGAGACCCAGTAGTAAGGAGCCATACCAGATAACCAGCTTAACCTCTACCAGAAAGAGGCGTGTCATGGCATTCAACACTGATTTTGTATGTTGCCTAAGTAGACTACATACAACATTTTTATAGCTATTGAGGCAATCAGAAATACTAATAATGCATCTAACTAAAGAAGAACGTAAGTATTCAAAATTTAAGTGAATATGAGTTGAGCAGAATTCATGACTCACCACTGTGTCACCCTTACGAAGGACAAGATCCTTAGCAACTGGATAAAACATTTGGGGCAGTTGAGGATCCTTCTTGCCAATTAGTTCCCATTCGTCAGCATATCCCTTACGGGTCACTTTGTATCCTGACACAACACGACCTGAAAGGGACGTACTGCAGATAATAACAATGTTTCCATTATTGTACTTAAATAATTAACAAAGTTGGGTGAAACAACTTTTTTTCTGGAAATTATACATATATAAATATTCACGTGGGCTATCAGACTCAGACCGCTTTGCGATCCTCCTATATTGTAGGTGTTAGAGCTACTGGTTACTGTTTTGGTGGTTAATGGTTCGAGGCTCTGACCTCTGACCTTATATCGATCTCGATTTAAGCCTAACGTGTATAAATACACGCTGGCTGCCTGTCCCATAACACTTATTTAATTATTAAATACGAAAGTACTTAAGGAAATTCCTGTTTCAATCCTTCGTGTTCTGATACTGTCACATTTTTCATCACGTGTTAATTTTCGTGATTTATACACGATGGATTGTACCATCGATGGTTGAATAATGTTGAATTAAAATACTTGTATAATAGACAAAACCCAAGATGTAAGAAGATTACAAATTCTTGAAGCAATCCACATAAAAATAAAACAACCTATCATGAATACCCAAATTTCGGAACTATTTACTCTACCCGCCATGAGAGTAAGAACAAGACCGGAACATAACGATGACAACACAGAAGACACTGCTCAACATAATAGGCTTATTACATCTGATTAATCATTGTATGTACCCCTATTTTTCCCCTTATTTCACTTATGTTTTCACCTGACCCCGTACTGGTATAAATCTACCGAGTTTTGTAATTTCTTATCGCTTGAGAATGAACTTTGTAGGTTCGAAACGTCGTACGATTTTATAACAAGTACAATATATTCTTCAGGTATTCACTTCTTTTTCTTCACCTTGAAAACGAACAAGACTTTTGGTGAACTCCTCTTCTAGGTGAACCCTGATGCTAGAACACTAGTAAGAGGGATACAAGGGATATATATATATAAGAGGGATAAGAGGAGATATATATATATATATATATATATATATATATATATATATATATATATATATATATATATATATATATATATATATATATATATATATATATACACACACACATGTATATATCTCCACTCCCTCCTTCCCCTGGTGGGAGACGACGAGTGGAAAGGGGGAAGGTCTGAGAACCCCGGGCACCGCCGGTTACCCCTCCTAGTATACTATGAAAGAATGTCTGTTTGTCTGTCCAAACTTGGAAGCCAGATTCTTGGAGCTAGGCTCCCCCAAACTGGCAGAGGGAATTGCCTGGGGTACGGGATGAACAGGCTGGTCGGGGTCGCCAGAATTCATAAGGGAACAGCATGCCATGGTCACATTGAGACCCAAACAACAGTTTTTGCCACTGCCTACGAAAATATTAAAATAAATAAAAACTTGTTTTTACTAAATAAACAAATACTGGCCCATTACTATCTACAACTATAACTCCACTTATATAATTCTTCACTATCACCATTTTTACCCAGCAGGCTACTACAGTGATTTGTAATCACCTCATATTGAATATCAATACAGTTACCTATACACATTATCTAGAATACATGTTCACTAGTATTAAATATTTTTATTTAATAACTGTTAATTTCTAAATCACTGCAAATTCTAATAAACAGTATATGTTTCGATTATTATGTTGGATTTAAGGTTTGCCTGAAACATTTTACATATTATTGGCTTTGTCAGAAGATCCCTCTACCAAAATAATCATTTGATTCATAATAATTATTTTCTTGGCATGTTGGTATACACTACCCAGACGTATTGTAGCTTATATACATGCAACATATATTACAAATTAAGTGCACTTTCTTGCAAATAAATATGAAACAGAATACAGAACAAGAATGGATTTTCATGTGGTTTATCAATTTACTGTTGATAATAGAGTATCTAAAGGATATAGAGGTAGGCCTATATATAAGTAGGCCTTGGCAGCAGGATCTCACCAAGAGCGTGAGTGTGGGTGCGGAAGGCAAATGGGTGGATGACCTTATCTTCATTGATGGTGCAGGCAGTCTCCATGTACTCTACACTGTTCGGGTTGATGCGCCCACCAGTCCCCATAAGCAGCACACCTGCTGCCTTTGGTTGACTGAAATGCATGAAAAAGACAAGAAAAGTTGCACAATAATACCCAACAGGATAGTTTAAATACATTTTATCTTCTATAAATAAGCCAGGCAGGGACATTTTTCAACATCGGTATCTACCGTGCAGACCGAATCGCAAAAAATTATCACCATGTCATTTAGCTACTTGCACACTTAAATATGGGAGAAAGAACAATTTCCTCTGATTCAAAATCAGTCCTTTGAGTAGTCACAAACCCCATTTACAAAATAATAATCCTGTAACAGCCATTTTAAATGGCCTAAATACTGTAGATTAAAGGACTTAAAATCACCTTTGTGTGGACAAAGACAAAACAGCATGCTGCATGTAACAAGCAAACAACTGAACAAGAATTAGGAATCTGATGAACTGGAGAAGGTCCCACTTGGCTCGTCCCAGGTTAGGACTTGGATGGGCCTCATTTCAGACTATCAGTCAGCGTCTGTCTTTTTCTCCTACGGCTCTTCTCTGCCCGAAGTGTCGTCACCATATGGTTCAGGATTAGTCTAGAGTGACCTGTCGATAGGTTGAGCAGTTGTGTAGGAACCTGAGCCCTGCCTGCATGGAATTTTCCTGGGCAGGGTTCAGTTCCGGGTGATGTACTGGTTCGAAGTACAGAACTGCTATATGTACTTCAGGCCCTGCCACCTTTCACCGGTTCTTCCTTCACTATCTTTCTCTACAGGCTTTTTGACGTTTCGTTTTGTGCCGTCATCCATCCAATTCCTTAATGTGTTCACAGACACCTCAGCTCTTTGGTGCGTCTTCATGACCAGCAATCGTCAGGCATCCCAGGGTCGGTGGATGGAGCCATTCGTTCGGGTACAGTGCAGTGTCCGAGTTAGCGGCTGTGTGGAAGGCTCTGAGGAAGAGAATCCACCTTCTTTTTGGCTTCATTCCATCTGATCGCCAATGGATCATTTCCTGAAATGTGGGAGTTGATTTGGTCCTATCCCCTTAGGAGCTGAACAATTTATGTAATTCAGCTTCCAGATTCTCTGGGTATGGTTCTCTGTGCGGTTCATGTGTGGGCTGCGTCCAGCATTCACTTGGATAAGTTATCTTGTTTTTGTTCAATTTCCACGAAAAGGACGTGACGTTCAATGACGTTCTCTTGTTGGGTTTGCCAAACGTTTCATCGTCCTGAGTATATCCTCTTCACGCTGGTCTGGAACTGTCATTTTCCCTTTTGCTCCGTTTCCCAGTCACAAGGTTCTCACAATGAATGCCATTAGATTGGACTGGTCGAAGTGGTCCATGTAACATTTTCCGTTGGTTCAGGTGTTGCTCTGGGTATTGTCCAGACTTGTGTCGTACTCAGGGAGGGTGATCCTTTTGACCATTTTATGGCTGTCTCAGCCATGGTTTCTGCTCTTCTGGCCCAGTGTCCAAACCTGGACACTTTTCTGCTGCTCTGCCTCTTTCACCAGATCAGCCTAGCAAGGTACTACACTGATTCGACTTACTCCTCTGCTCTATGCATCTGGACTTTTTAAAAGGGTTTATCGTCATTTGTATGATGAGCAGGTGACTTTACTGGTATCAGTTCAGGTGGTCCTGTCCTTCTTGCAATGTAAAATCTGCATCTTATGCTTAATAATGTTGCCTAAACATTTGGCATTGGTAGATGTGCTGCTGTTTGAGTTCGGTGTCAACACGGCTTTGGCACTGTTTCACAAGTTGTCGCAAGAGTTCTTTTGCCTCCAGCCGCCTCTTGCTCCTCCTGAGCCGTCCTGGTCTCTTGCCAGTGTCTGTGTTTGAATCCTCTCCTCAGCTCGGTGCTGCCCCTTTGGTCAGAGATAATTTTCTCACAGCTGCATTTTCATTGGCTCTCGCCTCTGGCTGCAGAGTTGGGGAGCTTCATGCTTGTCTTTGGAGGCGTGGGTTCTGTTCTTTCAGCGCTGGTTGGCGGTTTGCTCATCTGCAGCCTTCTTCTATTCTGGCAATAAGTCGGCTGGTCTCCCAACGGGTCCTTTAGTAAATGATGTTCGATTGGTCTGGCTGGGAAGCATCATTAGTGATTGGACCAAGCATATGGCTTGGTCTCATTATTATTATTTAACCTAATTAGCGAATTGGGTTAAAAGTCTAACAACTTCAAATTATTTTAACAATGTGGTCTAGCATGTAAAATACTGGATATGCTAAGGTGCATGGATCCATGGCTGTCCAGGTTCGAACCCTTCACGGGAAAAGCGTTTTCTGATGCATATGGCTTGAGACCATTGAAGCGTGTTGCACAAATGATACCCGCGTCTCCCCACGTGGTTAAGTGATTTCATGAAAATATCTGTGACCGGTGCCCACCGAGTGCTGTTGATAGAAGGCCACCTGCCCGAGCTGCTACTCAAACCACACTGTTCCCTGCTCGGCTAGTCCTACCCAGACCAGAGCAGTGTATCCTTCCGCATAGACTAGTTTTACCAAGTTACCAGCAAGGCTTAAGTTTAACAACAAACCTCTGTTGCACTGAATGATCCAGATTGGTTGAATTATTTTAACTGAAGTTAAATTACACAAGCATCTTAAAGAAGAGCTATTCCCGATCACAAACTGGTTATTTGACCTTTGAGAATTACTGAATGTGGAAACTGTTGACCTGTGACCGCCAGGTCACTCCGCCTTATAGCCTAGTTCTGGCTCGTGACGTCACTGATGGTGACTTAACTCAAAATCCTACTAATTAGAATACTCTTAATATTACAAACAGTGATACTATGCAATACAATTTGTATACAAAAAGAATAAAGGCTAATTTCTCTAAATAAGTGAATACTATAGAATGATTCATTATACGAAACTATGAACAAAGGCGCCAGCCATTTTGTGACTCAGACTTGCTAATCCCCAGAGGAATGCGCGTTGTAGAGGTCAGGTCCCTACACGAGACTTCTGGAACCTTCTGGATAATTCTTACAACAAACCTAGTTTGTTACAATGTCTCCCCTTACTCTTCTGTCTTCCAGTGTCGTAAGGTGCATTTCCCGCAGGCTTTCATCGTAACTCATGCCTCTTAGTTCTGGGACTAGTCTAGTGGCATACCTTTGGACTTTTTCCAGCTCCGTCTTGTGCCTGACAAGGTACGGGCTCCATGCTGGGGCCGCATACTCCAGGAGTATGTGTGTGTGGGTGTGTGTGTGTGTGTGGGTGTGTGTGTGGTGTGTGTGTGTGGGTGTGGGTGTGGGTGTGTGTGCGCGCGCGTACATGAATGGTCAAAACAATTTAATATTTGTTTTATTCATTCTGGTATTTTACATTTGATTCCAATCTTTCGTGTGGTGCCTTATCAAAAGCATTAGAAATGTCCATGTACCGTACATCTGCAGAGTAATAATCCGTTAATATCTTATGCCTAGATTAACCACTGACAGAGATCTGCGCGAGGTGTTCGCAAGGAAAGAAATATTACTTACGGAGTCTCAGTGTAGTAGAGGAAGACCCCAGAGTCATCCGTGGAACCATCTGCAGAGGAGCACACGTCATAGTATCTTTCCCATTGTTTTATTTTTTTAAATACTTACAAATTTATATTTAGTATTTAAAACAGCATTCAAATCAATTTAAACCCACAACAAAATATTTTGGCCTTTTGCAAGTATTGTTTCAAAATCAATCAAAATATAATTGACAGCTTACTATTATTACCAATAAATAACTGGCATACCTTTAAATTTTTCAACAGAAGCATAGTGGACCTGCAAGACAATGTACTGGATGGGGGACTTCCCGCCCACCTTGAAGGCGACTCCCTCAGGCAGCACCAGCTTGGGGGCGTCCCGGGCCCAGGCATAGATCACCTGTGCATGCACAAATATTACTGCTTGTCACACATCACACGCTCGCGTCAACAATGGCAGAGGGAAAGGTCAGACCACTGGGGGTAAACAGTGACCACTGGGGGTAAACAGTGACCACTGGGGGTAAACAGTGACCACTGGGAGTAAACAGTGACCACTGGGGGTAAACAGTGACCACTGGGGGTAAACAGTGACCACTGGGGGTAAACAGTGACCACTGGGGGTAAACAGTGACCACTGGGGGTAAACAGTGACCACTGGGGGTAAACAGTGACCACTGGGGGTAAACAGTGACCACTGGGGGTAAACGTTAAGGGTTAAGATGAAAAGAAATGGAGAAAGCGTGGAAAGTGGATAATCAGTGACCGTGGATATGGTCGACATTGAGAGATATAATGAGAATGTCTGTTATGATACACATTGTCATTATATTTGTCTCTGTCTCAGGGATAATGGGGTAAACAAACCAGTCCCATTGAGGTCCCTAGAAGTGATAGCCCCTGGGTAAATTCAGGTAAATACATGACTGCAATATGATTTATGACTATCCCACTTATCTCTTCTAAGATATACAAATTATGAGATGGAAGAGTTGAGGGGTAGTGACCTGGGAGCCGGAGCCGCAGACGGCAGCACTCTTAATGCCAGGCTGGGCCAGGGCCATCTCGCCACAGTTCCAGACCTCCTCGTCAGTGCCGGGCGTCTCACACCCATACAACAGCATGTGGTGTGCTGTGTCCATGCTTGCGTTGGGCTGGAAAGCAGCTGTGAAGGGTAAAGTAATTTGGAACATTTTCATTATGCTACAGCTATTCTATCGCATGAAATGAATACTTTACATCAGTGTTCACACTTAGAACACTAGACAATATCCCAATACCCACATAAATGTTTCAAGCAAGGTAAAAGAATCAATTAAGGAATATACCCATAACGTGCGAAATAATCACGAAAAGCATTCACAAATTAAAGTAATCTAAAGCTCCAGGTGTGATAATTCAATCCAAAATCGTAAAGGTCGAGGAACTGTGTCTACCAGTGAAACTCTTGTTCATACAATTTGTGGACGAAGGGAAAATTCCCCTACATTGTAAAATGCAAATTTCACCCCAACTTTCCCCCCCCCCCCCCCTCACACACCAAAATAATAGCTCGGTAAAAAACTGGCGACTAAGCAGCCTAACCTTGCATACCTGCAAGTTTAGGCTGATTATATAGAATAGTTGTGGTTGGTCCTTAGCATCTGCTGCAATGTGGTTTCTAAATTGCCTCTGAAAAATTTTCTCCTGACTTCAGTATTTATTGCTGTCTGTTTTTAGTGCCTCTCTATTGTCCTCTGCTCCTGGTGTTGTGTATTATTTCCTGGCGTTCTTTTATCCCATCATTAGCTTCCTGCATATCCTACTGAACCACTGATATAACTTTACTCTTTTCCCCCACCTCCTCCTTGAGCAGCATGAACTACTACGCTGCTTGTGCACAGCTCCTAGCGATGAGCTTCTTCATCAGATTTGTTTACTTCCCTTTCAGTTCTCTCCCTCATTGACTTCACACAGAAAGTTCCTCATCTCACTGTAGTCCCCACATCTGTTATCTCTCTACTTTCTCAACATCTGCACGCAACATAGAGCCCTGTTGCTTGTGCACAAGCAATAGGGCTCCATCAAGGAGCATATAATCTCTTCACACAACCAGACCATCAACAGAGATCTTAACAAGCAACACTGAAATAATCGACAGGTATAACAAAAACAGAAAACTGGACATGAGCGAGGCCCTACACATCAAAAAGTCAAGACCAGTAATCAACAACCACTTAACACATAATTACATTCTATTCACTTCAAGACCCCGAACCAACACAGAGACAGTAGAAGCAAGAACATAAGCTGCTTATATTCATGCATGTAATAGCCTATTAATATCCATTCATCCACTTGTTCATCTCAATCACGTCCTGTACCATCTCACCCCAAGAGAATATAAGCTCTTGCTAAAGCATTGTAAACATAAAGCATTGTCCCTTTACGGGCTCACCATAGCCCGTGCTACATGGACACTTCGTCCTGAGTAGCTAAATCTTTAACAACAACAGCAGCATTATAAATTTGTCTTTGAAAATTTAAGGACTGCCTTGCGAAACGCATTCCTAGGCGTCATACCATAATCAATTAACTACCAGAGCTACCAGAGCTTTAGCTACTAGTTAAATCAGCTACCCTTATTACTAAGACCGGAGGTGCACTCACTGATGTAGTACTCCTGCGTCGGGTCGATGCGGATCGGGGTGCAGAAGTAGGTCTCGGCCTGTAAACACGAAATACCATATTATTGTTATTGCCATGATGCATAATGTGAGGGGGAGGCCAGGTTTGTTCCATCTTTAAATGTTATGTAACGCTACATATGGAAGTGACCTCAAAGCACATATACGTGAGTACATTTAGGTAAGTGTCAGATGAGCCACAGGGACGTAAGAAAAAAACTTTTCAGTGTCAGAGTAGTTAACAGATGGATTGCATTAGGCAGCGATGTGGTTATCTTGAGGTTATCTTGAAATGTTCTCGGGGCTTAGCATTCTCCGCAGCCCGGTCCTCGCCCAGGGCCTCCTTTTTGTTACACATCCCCAGGAAGCAGCCCGTAGCAGATAACTTCCAGGTACCTATTTACTGCTAGGTGAACAGGCGCATCGTGGTGAAAGAAACTCTGCCCAATTGTTTCCGCTTCTGCCGGGGATCGAACCCGGAACCTTAGGACTACGAATCCCGAGCGCTGTCCACTGAGCCGTCAGGCCTCCCAAGGCAGGTGGAGGAGGCAGACTCCATATACTTTTAAATGTAGATATGATAGAGCCCAGTAGGCTCAGGAATCTGTAAAGACTTGATTGATAGTTGAAAGGCGGGACCAATGAGCCGAAGCTCAACCCCCGCAAGCACACAAGGTGACATCAGAAGGAACTTCTTTAATGGGAGTCGTAAATAAATGCAATTGATTAGATGAGAATGTTGTTGATGCTAATTTCATACTCAAATTTAAATGTAAATATGATCAGGCACCCGCCTCTACCAGAACACCTGTATGATGTTACGACATCACACTCCATCATCATAACCATTCTCAGCCTTCTTTGAGAGCCACACTAACCCACAACCAGCATGAAGCAATGCCACTGAATGTTTTGTTTTATATTAGAATGTGTAGAATGTGTAAATTTATGTATTGACGTTAATCTCAGATTGTATGCTGGCGATGAGTCACAATAACGTGGCTGAAGAATGTTGACCAGACCACACACTAGAAGGTGAAGGGACGACGATGTTTCGGTCCGTCCTGGATCATTCTCAAGTCAATTGAAAATGGTCCAGGATGAACCGAAACGTCGTCATCGTCCGTTCACCTTCTAGTGTGTGGTCAGGTCAACTCAGATCGTATCCTATTTTATGTATTATTTTGGTCAAAAATGATGGCACCTAGTAGAGGTCTGAAACCATATCTATCGACACCTTATAGATCGCATGACCTGGTGTAGCTGATGGGAGAAGACCCGTGACATCGTGCATCAGGAAAGGCTGCCGGTGATTGGATAGTGGGATGTCACTTGCTTGTTTGACGTCACAGAGTGAGGATGCCCGACAATGGTGCTCTGCGATCATTTGGGTATTTTGAGGAAGTGTCACTGTATTGACTTGATACTGCCATCATTTATGCTTGATCATAAAACTAAGGTTAGTGTTGTCATGCGGCAGTGCAGCCCATCAGCGCTCATTTTCTTTGATTTTAATTTTTACTTTTTGTTTCTTAGTACTTAGAGCTAAATCTCAAAGCGCAAAACACTTCTACATGACCATAAGACTGAACTTCTGGTAGTTGGGTAGTGCAGACCAACGCCAGATATAGTTTTTAGATCAGCCTATATCTTCTAACTTAGCAGGTTCGAGCCCATAAAGTTTTATCACACTCGGGTAAAAATCTGTCCACCAGCTATACACTTCTCTCCCCCCTTCACCCCCTGTCAACTACCCCAACCACCGCGTCCCCCAGCCACCAAACATAACCCCACCAACCCTAACCCGGCCCTGGGACACGAACCCACCAACCCTAACCCGGCCCTGGGACACGAACCCACCAACCCTAACCCGGCCCTGGGACACGAACCGGGAGGAACTGCCTCGATCAGCTGCGAGGGAATCATATACAGTTACTAATGTTGCAGCGCCTGCTGCCACCGAGCACCCTGGCGTGGTGTGACACCCTGGCGTGGTGTGACACCCTGGCGTGGTGTGACACCCTGGCGTGGTGTGACACCCTGGTGTGGTGTGACACCCTGGTGTGGTGTGACACCCTGGTGTGGTGTGACACCCTGGTGTGGTGTGACACCCTGGTGTGGTGTGACACCCTGGTTTGGTGTGGCACCCTGGCGTGGTGTGACACCCTGGTGTGGTGTGACACCCTGGCGTGGTGTGACACCCTGGTGTGGTGTGACACCCTGGCGTGGTGTGACACCCTGGCGTGGTGTGACACCCTGGCGTGGTGTGACACCCTGGTGTGGTGTGACACCCTGGCGTGGTGTGACACCCTGGCGTGGTGTGACACCCTGGCGTGGTGTGACACCGTAGTGTGGTGTGACACCGTAGTGTGGTGTGACAGGGTGTCACCGAGCACCCTGGTGTGCAGAATAGAACCAGTGAAGAGCAGGGGTGCCATAGGCACAATCAGAGAACACTGTATAAACATCAGAGGTCCGCGCTTGTTCAACGTCCTCCCAGCGAGCATAAGAACTATTACCAGAACAACCGTGGACATCAAGAGAAAACTAGATAGTTTTCTTCAAGAAGTGCCGAATCAACCGGGCTCTGTTGGATATGTGGGCCTGCGGGCCGCTCCAAGCAACAGCCTGTTGTACCAAGCTCTCACAAATCAAGCTTGGCCTCGGACCGGGCTTGGGGAGTAGAAGTCCCAAAACCCCATCAAGCTGGTATCAAGCAGGCGTGATGTGACAAGAGCTGACAATTCGTGGCATAAAAATACAGTTGCAGTTTTCAGTTCTTTAAAAGGAACCTAATCAAACCTGTGTACTTTCAAGAGTTTATAGGAGACGCATAAACCATTTCACAATGCAGTTTCTAGTTGTTAACGATGAGGACCATGCCGGCTCCGCGATCTATAAGGATATTAACACATGTGGCAACTCCGCTTTTAAAGGTTAGTTCTATAAAGTGTATGAAGAAAGCCTGACAACACAGCGGAGGAGGAAGGACTCCTGCGAGACAAGCTCCGACCTCTGTAGGTCAGACACCGGAAGGGACCCTGGCCTGTAGGTCCCCGCGGTGCGCCAGGGGCGATGGACGGTGTACATGCAGGTCGACGCCCCCACCACTACACCACCACTACTTTACTCCCCACGTCATTGCCAACACCTGTGGCTTCTGAGTGCCGCTTTCCTTTATATATGAGGTAGTCGTAGTGTCGAAATCTATACGTACATGAAAATATAGGGGCATGTATATCTAAAAATATATATCTAAAAATATATATCTAAAAATATATATCTAAATATATATATATATATATATATATATATATATATATATATATATATATATATATATATATATATATAAATATATATATATATATATATATACCCCATTGCCCCAAAATTATTTTCTTGTTGATATATCACTACATTGTGATTTCTGTGTGATCTGAAGGAGGGGGTAAATGGGTGTGACCACTATTACCCACAGGACAGAGTGAAGGCGGGCAAACAGTAAAATCCTGGTTGGGCACCAGATCGGGCCTCCAGAACCTCCCAGTGAATTCAATAGTGTTGCGGGTTGGTTGGTTTTTGTCCTATCGCGGCTGAGTGGGTTGAGGCAGGTGTCTGGGAACCACCAGAACGCCGGTTCATGTCATTCCTTTGACCTTGTTTCCTCGCTTGGGGCAACAACAAAAAATGGCCTTCTGCAGTTTCCTATATTCTTACTTTCTTACATTCTTAAGAAGGGTATTGGTTGCTTTGGCCGAAGTGTATTAAGAACAAGGGTATTGGTTCTTAGGGACAGGTGTATTAAGAACAAGGGTATTGGTTCTTAGGGACAGGTGTATTAAGAACAAGGGTATTGGTTCTTAGGGACAGGTGTATTAAGAACATGGGTATTGGTTCTTAGGGACAGGTGTATTAAGAACAAGGGTATTGATTCTTAGGGACAGGTATATTAAGAACAAGGGTATTGGTTCTTAGGGCCAGGTGTATTAAGAACAAGGGTATTGGTTCTTAGGGCCAGGTGTATTAAGAACAAGGGTATTGGTTCTTAGGGACAGGTGTATTAAGAACAAGGTTATTGGTTCTTAGGGACAGGTGTATTAAGAACAAGGGTATTGGTTCTTAGGGCCAGGTGTATTAAGAACAAGGGTATTGGTTCTTAGGGACAGGTGTATTAAGAACAAGGGTATTGGTTCTTAGGGCCAGGTGTATTAAGAACAAGGGTATTGGTTCTTAGGGCCAGGTGTATTAAGAACAAGGGTATTGGTTCTTAGGGACAGGTGTATTAAGAACAAGGGTATTGGTTCTTAGGGACAGGTGTATTAAGAACAAGGGTATTGGTTCTTAGGGACAGGTGTATTAAGAACAAGGGTATTGGTTCTTAGGGCCAGGTGTATTAAGAACAAGGGTATTGGTTCTTAGGGACAGGTGTATTAAGAACAAGGGTATTGGTTCTTAGGGCCAGGTGTATTAAGAACAAGGGTATTGGTTCTTAGGGACAGGTGTATTAAGAACAAGGGTATTGGTTCTTAGGGCCAGGTGTATTAAGAACAAGGGTATTGGTTCTTAGGGACAGGTGTATTAAGAACAAGGGTATTGGTTCTTAGGGCCAGGTGTATTAAGAACAAGGGTATTGGTTCTTAGGGCCAGGTGTATTAAGAACAAGGGTATTGGTTCCAGGAAACTGTAACGACTCTTCCCTTCCACTTCATGAGAAGGAATAAGCTAGAAACAAAATATTTAAGGGGAGTAGTCTAGGCATAACAATATATATATATATATATAACGTGTATATATACAAACATATACAAGACCTTTGATGATTGCTTCAGATGAACCATAGGAATTTAAGGAAAGTAGAATTAAATATATCAAGTACTAAAAAATTAACTCCTTGTTTAATTTCAAATGTTGTTATGTCCGTAAACATGTGAGTTGAGAATCATTGTACTAGTCACTGAGAACAACTGTTTTCAACCGGAGGTATCCATGTTCCCTTGAGGATATGGGACTCAATCTTTGAATTGTTGTAAAAACGTTG